GTTGCCACATGTTGTCGTTTACACTTGCGTGGTGCGGCGGAACCAGTTTACATTCTTTATGGCAACGGCCGTACACATGCATGTGCACGGGATGAGGTGGACCTGGTTGTGCGTGTGGGCGATCTCGAGCTTGAGTTGCAGCCGTTGCGGGTGGTGCCGAGTCAAGCTTTTGACCTCATTCTTGGTATGGATTGGTTGCAGCGCAATCATGCCAAGTGTGACTTTGAGGCTTCTCCCCCTTGTCTCATACTTCCTTATGTTTCATCCATTCCTCTCACTTCCATACCTTTTCGTCCCTTTACTTCTACCTCTGCTTCCATTACTTTTGTTCCCCCACTCTTTCCTTTTGTGTTTCCATCTTGTTCTGCTTTTCCCTTTTCCGATCCTCCGACGATCTTTGTGTTGAAGCAGTTGACTGGCTCATGAAGGAGTATTCTGATCTCTTTGAATTTGACTTATCGTCTGGGGCCAAGATTGCCACACGTCATCCGATTCCAACCGGGGATGCTTGTCCAATCAAGGTTATTGTTCGTCGTCGGTCACCTAAGGAGATCAAGATTTTACGAGCAAACGTCAAGGAAATGCTGGAGAAGGGTGTTATTCAGAAGTCGCAGAGTCCTCCGGCATGTGAACCTCATCTTGTGATGAAGCCTGATGGGAGTATTCGTTTCTGCATCGACTATCGTCTGTTAAACGAAGTGACGATCCCAGATGTGTATCCTCTTCCTCACACTGCTGGTCTCTTGGATCATCTGGGGCGAAGTCGTTAGTTCACCAAGCTAGATCTTGCTTCTGGGTATTGGCAAGTACCGATGGCCAAAGAAGATATTCCTAAGATTGCTTTTCGTACACCATTTGGTTTGTACGAGTTCTTGGTGATGCCGTTTAGTTTGAACAATGCTCCAGCAACTTTCCAGCGGATGATGGACGAGGTTCTTTGCGATATGCCGGAGGTGACTGCTGACTTCATTGATGATGTCTTGATCCACTCGGAGGGGACGTGGGAGGAGCACGTTTGTGATGTTTGTAAAGTGTTGGATCGGCTATGCGACGTTGGTTTAAAGCTGAAGCGGTCAAAGTGCGTGTTTGGGTCCAAGGACACAACTTATCTTGGGTACCATATTTCTCGTGAGGGTTTGCAAGTTGATCCTGATAAACTTGTGGCTGTTCTAAAGTTCCCTACTCTGAAGTGTGTGAATGATGTGCAGCACTTTTTGGGTAAGGTGCAGTATCTCGGTCGTTTTGTGGATCATCTTTCCGATCGCACTACACCATTGCGAGCGTTGCTGAAGTCATCAACGTCATCTTTCATCTGGTCTCCGGATTGTGAGCGAGCGTTCGTGGATCTCAAAGAACTATTGACGACTCCTCCGGTTTTGGCATATCCTGACTACACTCGACCTTTTATTTTGCACGTGGATGCTTCTGAGATTGGTCTCGGAGGTGTGTTGATGCAAGAGATCTCAAGTGTGCCGGGTCAGCGCCATCCCATTGCATATATAAGCCGTACATTACAACCAGCAGAGATGAATTACTCCACGACGGAGAAGGAGTGTTTAGTAGCAGTCTGGGGTTTCGAGAAACTTCATGCCTATCTACATGGTTCTTGGACGTTACTTGAAGGTGACCATGCTGCTGTTACTTCATTATTGAAGCGGAAGAACCTGGTTGGTCGTACGGCTCGATGGGCTTTGAAGCTTCAGATATATGATTTCGATGTTGTTCATCGCCCAGGGAGTTCTATGGCTGATGCTGATGCCCTTTCTCGAGCTCCTCTTCCTTCTTTACTCACTTCTCATGTTTCTGACGAACCTGTTGTTCCAGCATCTGTGGATTTTCTAGATGAGGATTCTGTGCCGTCGGTGGTTGCTGTCCTTGACGTTTAGTGTCCACAAGGTGCAGAGCAAGATCTACCTTCTCTTGATGAGGTTCGCGAGGCTCAAAAGATTGAGCCGTGGATTCAGAGGCTTCGAGATGGGTTTGAAAATCCTGCATCACTTTTGTGGGGACTGATCCTGAGGATCATTTACGGCTGGTGGTGCCTTCGGTGTTTATTCCGCGGTTTCTCCATGCCTACCATGATTCTCCTGTTCTAGGTGGGCATATGGGACACCGTTGTGTCACCAAGAAGCTGCGCAGGTCTTTCTATTGGCCGGAGCTGCGGCGTGATATTATCCGGTATGTGCGTAGCTGCGTTTGGTGCCAAGCTCGTAATACTCCCCCTCGTGCTGCGGAAGGACGGTTGGAGTCAATTGCGGTTTCCCGTCCGTTTGAGTTAGTGGCGTTTGATCTTATGGGACCTTTTCCACGGTCGACTGCTGGCAATGAGTATGTTATTATTGCTTCTGATTACTTGACTCGTTGGGTGGAAGTTGGTGCTCTTGCTAGCGCCTCTGCAACTACTGTTGGATACTTCCTCCTCAATCGAGTGGTGTTCCAGCATTCTTGTCCAGAGCGGATTCTTTCGGATAATGGTCCCGCATTTATGGCTGAGGCCTTTCATGTTTTGACGTCTCAGTTGGGGATATGCCACACTTTCACGAGTACTTATCATCCACAATCAGACGGTCTGGTGGAACGGCTTGTTTGGACATTCAAAGGGATGATTGCGAAGTATGTGAACTTTCAGCATTCGGATTGGGATGGTTATTTGCCGTCTCTTCGGTATGCATATGTTACAGGGGTGCAGAGTTCTGTTGGTGCTTCACCATATAAACTCCTATATGGTCATGATCCAATATTACCAATGGAGCTGGATTTACCTTCGCGATTGCCACGTGCTGCCGATGCTAGATCATGGGATCAGTATTTGACGAGCATTCTTCCACTTGTCCGAGCAGAGTCTGCCAAACACTTAGGCCGCGTACAAGTGGGACAACAACGGTGCTACAACTCCTATCATCGTCTACCTGCGGAGTACAAAGTGGATGATTTGGTGTTAGTCCGTTTTCCCCATCTTACGGTACATGGTTTATCTAAGGGGCTTCTTGCGCAATGGAAAGGACTGTATCGAGTGTTGCAACAAATTGGACCACAAGTTTATGAGGTTCGGCATGATGTTCAGCAGGCTGATCCTCCAGAGATTGTGCATGTGCAGCGGCTAAAACGCTTGGTACAAAGGGATCAGGAGGAGTTAATACCACCTACAGATCCACCGATGCCTCCTCCTGACGTTCCTCCGGATCCCGGCCCATCTTCAAGAGAACTCTGATGATCTTCCATTATCCCGAGAGGAGGGGATGATGTGAGGGCCAACTGTACGGTTACGATGCCGTATACTAATATTAGCATAGTGGGATTTTGGTAGCCATCAGATTGGTTTCAATCTGGACCACTCGCTCCTATATATAAGCTAGGGTTTTTGGGCTAATTGATATGCACATTTCTGTATTCCCTTTCCATATTACAAGCACTCACACACACACACACACACACACACACACACACACACACACACACACACACACATATATATATATATATATATATATATATATATATATATATATATATATGTGTGTGTATATATATATATATGTGTATATATATATATGTGTATATGTATATGTATATATGTGTATATGTATATGTATATGTGTATATGTATATGTATATGTGTATATGTATATGTATATATATGTATATATGTATGTATGTATGTATATATGTATATATATATATATATATGTATGTATATATATATGTGTGTATATATATATATATATATATATGTATATATATATATGCATATGTATATGTATATGTATGTATATGTATATGTGTATGCATATGCATACATATAGATATACATATACATATATATACATATATATACATATAGATATACATACATATATATATATTGTAAGCTTATATAGTTAAAAATAAACTAATAAAAAATAAAAAGAAAATAATAGCTTCTATTATTTAAATGTTTTATAATATTTAATATTATTTATTAAAAATGTTTTAAGAAATATTTATGCAACAATAAACCCAAGATAGAATTTTTGTGATGTGGTTTAATTGTATATTATATTTTACTTAGTAATTTTCTAAGATAAAAAACAAGAGAAAAAACTTAAATAAAATAAAATAAATTTATTATTTTTTATAAATTTTGAGTATGATTTATATGGTTCTCTTATATGATCAATGACTAAAATTAATTTGTGGTCTTTATAACCCTTAAACCATTTTACTTTACCTGAGGAAAAAATGAATTCAAATTAAAAGTAAAATTCTGTAAAAAATCTCTTTCTTTTAGAGTGTTTGAGAGTATTCCAAGAATATTATTTTTGGATGGGCTAGATTGAATGTTTAATACGATCAATGGCTAAAATTAATTTTCTGTTGTTTACCTGAGGGAAATTAGTTTTATTTTCTAACTTTTACCCGTGGAAAAAACAATTTAAGTTTAAAAAACAATTTCAGATAAAGCTACTGCTCCAGCTAAGTGTTTGAACAAGCACTCCAAATGAAAGGATAACTGGATGGCTCACAAATACATCGTGGGAGTAGATTGGATTGTGAGGCAGTCACTCCATGTTTGAGAGTGCGCAAAGCTAGAGAGATCTTTGAAAAGGTGGCAGACCATTTTGTCACACGTTTGAATGCTAGAATGCAATGATCATGGTCCACGCTCATAGAGGTTTTTGCTGCTCAAATCTCTCCAGATCCAGCTATAGAGAGTAAAGCAATTGCATCACTTTTATCAACTCCCTCAGTGCTTGCTCAAGCATGCAAGAATCAAGCTCTACACAGCTTTGCAAGATCTAGCAAGCTCCTACACCTTGAAACATTATATTATCTCTTCATATGACATCCTCACCTGGTACAATGAGGATGTGTATCTATTATTATAGCTCTCAACAAGATTATAATCACTTTCTTGACCAACTCTTAATGGTTAAATAATTTACGTTGCATTCGCCACCAATGTATCCACTGTCGTGGATGAGAAAAGAGAAGCCCTAATTAGGGCCTCCCTCTTCTCGCAGATGGCTGAGAAGGACTTGGCGTTGCAGAACTCTGCTGCTAACAAAGTTTTTCGATGCTGCCTTTTGACCCTTTGATGATTCGCTTCTTCAGATTAAAAAGAAAAAGAAAGAAAAAATAAACAATGAAAATGTAGAAGAGTATTCCTGTATTCATTGTTCGGCATTTCCTCTTGTACTCGACAACCAGAAACTACTAGAGGAAAAGGGAAAGATTATAGGTGTTTGATAAAAGCATTAAATACTTGATTAAATTTATAATGCACTTTATCGCTTTAAGAAGGCACTCTTTTTTGAGTTAGCAAAGAAAACTAAGCGAACTTAAAACTTTCGTGCTTAAAGCTTACCACCATCCTCCTTATATCCATCTTGCATTTTAGGTGGATCAGTGCACCAGTGGAGAGCTGTGAGGAAAGTTACCTTCTCCTTGTCCTTACATTTGATCTCGGAGTTTGCTCCATCCATTTTCTTTTAGGGCGCGGGAGAATGTGGATCGAATGTAGCGTGTTCCAAGGCGCTTGTCTGGGCGCGATCACGCGAGATCGCTGCGGCGCTGGCGCCAGCATCATCGGCGTGGAGCGGCGATCACCCGGTAATCGGCGGCAGAGATGGAGTGATCGCCCTTGCGTGCTCAGCGCCGCTAGAAACGCACGAGTGGCGCCTGGACAAGCGCGACGCTCTTCTACTTCTTCTCCTTCTACAAGGTTCGCTCGTTCTTTCTTTCTTGTGCTTGCGTGCTTTCATTCTTCTTCGTCATGCGCGTGTGTTTTGTTGCCTTGGTGCTTCTTTTCCAGGTAGCAAGTGTAGCATTTGCTCTAAGTTTTACTTTCCTATGCTTTTAGATCGCCTCAGGCGGTGGAGCTCCTCCACCACCTTACCATGGTGTCGATGCTACGCTTCGGGGACTGGCAGGAGCAGCGGAAGGATTTGGTGCCGCTTCGATCGGTGGCCTCGAAGGCGATACTTATTCCGTCACCAATCTCCTTGGTAAGAAACGGAAATGAAAGCTTTCATGGAGTGTTTCTTAGCTCGTGTTCCCGTGCTTGTGCTTTTATAGATGACGGTCCTGGAAGTCTTCGTTATGCTGCTGCTCGAGACGAGCCACTCTGGGTTGTGTTTAACGTTTCAGGAACAATTTCTCTAGCGTCCCCGCTCAGAGTCACGTCCCACAAGACGATCGATGGCCGCGGCCAACGGATCAAAATCACTGGAAACGGTCTGCTCCTGCAGAGCTGCGAGCATGTCATCGTAAACAATCTCGAGTTTGAGCGAGGCCGCGGCGATGCCATCACAATTGTCGCTGACGCCAAAGACGTGTGGATCGATCGCTGCACGCTCTCGGACTACAATGACGGCCTCATTGACATCACGAGACGGAGCACTCGCGTGACGGTTTCCAGGTAACTCGAAGAAGTCCACGCAAGTTTTTTACTGGGTCTTTCCCTTTCGTTCTCTTTTGCAGATGTCACTTTTATCGGCACAAAAAAACGATGCTTATCAGTGCCAATCCTCGTCACGTCGGGGATAGAAACATTAAAGTTACAATCCACCATTGTTACTTTGATCAGACGCAAGAACGACATCCTCGAGTGAGATTCGCGAAAGTCCATCTTTACAACAACTACTTTCGGGAGTGGGGGGTGTATGGTGTTCGCGCTAGCGTGGAAGCTCAGGTGCTCTGGTCTGATCTGATCTTATTCCATCACGCTTAACTTCATCCTCGTTTTTTTCTGGTAAATGCTGGCAGATTGTCTCGGAGCACAACGTTTATGAGGCCGGAACCAGCAAGCGTGCTTTCGACTATTTTATTGAAAAGGTGACGCATCGCGGCCCATGTCCTTGACTGTCTTTTTCTCTTTTGGGCATGAAAGCCACTCAACTTTTTCTCCTTTCTCCCTGTCAATCTCGTATTTTAATCTTTGCCCCTTTTTGTTCCAGGCTCCCGATAGTGATATAGCCGTTGCTGGCAGCATCAGCTCTGATGGAGATGTGTTTCTCAATGGAGCCGAAGGCCCAGCAAACTCCACTGCCTTCCTTCCAGAAGATTACTACTCGGTGAATCCCAAAGTGCAACCGGCAGGCAAGCAGCTTGTCAGAGTGATCAGGGAGACGGCTGGGTGGCAAAACATACCGCTTCCCGGCAGCTAGTCCGTCAAGGTAAGTTCGATTTCTTTTTCGATAAGTGCCTCGATCAATTCCCGTTTGATTGCAGAAAAGCGACTCGCGTTTTGATGAGCACCACCGTTGTCATCACCAAGCGTCTTACTGCGCAACGAGAAGCTAAATTCCGAAGAAGGAAAAGCCTGCCGGATCATGGGGACGGTATGGTGGAGCTCACGAACTCTGGAGTCGGTTCCTTCACGCGAGCAGCCTGAGAGCCACCGCCCATTCCAGTGAGACTGGAATTTACGTTTTTTTTTTACTCGGCTCTAGAAGGTACGCTAAAACACAGGTCGCGAAGAATCGACCAAATCTCGACCAACTTCGGACCGAGCCAAGCGAGAAACGAGCCATTGATTCCATCCAAGACCAAGTTAAAGAGACCCGAGTGAAGAAGATGGTAGGAAAAGTTTATCTATCTTTTCTTAACAAAGAACTTGTGTGTCAGGTTGACTACTATGGCTCTCTCACTCTGGTGAGCAAACTTTCGAGTAGAAAAAAAAAACAAAGAAAAAGAAAAATGGAGCAGTGAATTTTTTTCCATTCTTTTGTTTTGGGCGATGAGCTACGACGAGCGAGAAGTGACACGGTTGGTTTTGGAGTGGTTTGGCTCTTGTCACGGAGCCATGAAAATCGTTTCGTTGGTACCAGCGTCTCAGGCAAAAGGCTGGCGGTATCCAATGTTGGCTCGCTGGAGCTCGGTTGGCTATGGCGGTCATACATAGAGATTCATTCTTACACACAAAAGAAGGTGGTTTTTTTTTTTTTTTTTCTTAGCTAAGTTTAAGCAGCGGGTGTGAGTGATTCCAGTGTTCCCCCAAATTTGGGGAGGGAAACAAGGGCCGCTGATTCCACCACCACTGATTAAACTCGGGGCCTTGAAAATTCCTTGCGTTTCTCTCCAATCAGTTCTAAAGCTCGCGAGCTACTAAGTGAGAACTCGAGGTCTTCCAAGTAAGCTCTCTCAGATCTTTTCTCTAGTTTCTTTTTGGTCGCTCCTTTCACACATGTGAGAATTCATGCCTTTCATTGATTCCTCCATTCATAGATTCTAATTTCTGCGCTAGCTTTCTTTCTCCACTAGCGAGGCCGAGCTAGTGCTAGCCTAGTAGCTAGCGTTTTCTTTCTCCGCGCGCTTTCTTCCTCTCTATCGAGATTCTTTCATCGATCCATCCCTTCTTGCCGAGCTCCCGCGTTTCGCTACGCATCCACATTTCGTCCAGATCGCGAGCACCATCCGGATCGCCAGTGAAGAACAAGGAAGGAGAGCTCCAATCCAATGGCGATGGCGTCGCCGCTAGCGCTGGTGGCGATGCTAGTCCGCTACTCCCTGCTGATCACGGCGATCCTGGCGATGGTGGCGATGGTGGCGATGGGGGAGGAGGACGACTCCCTCTTCACCGTGGCCAAGCAGTTCAAGCGCTCCGTCCAGAACGTGGCGGCGGGCGAGCCGAGCTCCGGGCTATGGACGTCGCGCGCGCGGCAGCGTCCCCTCCCCACCAACAAGTTCTGGCAGAACTTCGTGCTCAACAGGGGATCCTCGCCGGAGTACATCCATCCCTACACCATCCAGGCGGGTAACTCCTCCATCGCCATCGGCTACCCCAAGCGCCAGGCCTCGCCCACCTTGATCGCCCAGATCCACGCCAACGATCTTTTGGTCTCCGCGCGATCGCCATCATCGCCCATCATCCAGGTCTCCCACCACGACGACCTCACCGTGACGCTCTCCCTCGGCCAGGCAATGCGCGCGCACCTCCTCCGCGGCAGCCCCTACGTCTCCTTCGTCTTCTCGGACGCCACGCCGCTCATCGCCAGCGCGCACGCCATCGCCAATCTCTCCCGGAGCGCCGACTCCACCAAGCACACGCTCTTCCTCGCCAATGGCCAGAGGTGGGTCGTCTACTCCTCCGCGCCGATCCATCTCCAGCTCGATCGGTCCGCGCAGCAGCTCTCGGCCAGCGGCGATGGGTACTCGGGCGTTCTTCGCATCGCGCTCGTCGCCACCCCCAGCGCCGAGCCACTGCTCGATCGCTACAGCGGCTGCTACGCGGTGGCGTCCTGGGTCTCGATCGACACCGTCTCCTCCGCGCCGCGCGCCTCCATGGCCTTCACCTACAAGACCCAGGGCCGCGGCGACCTCCTCCTCCTCGCGCTCCCCCTCCACCGCGCCGCCATGGACTACGCCACCGCCGGCGCGCGCCCGCTCCCCCAGCTCCGCTACGCCAGCATCGACGGCGAGCTCCAGGGCGTGGTGGGCAGCCTCTGGAAGCTCGACTCCAGCGCGCCCATGGCCGCCATAGCCTGGCACTCGGTGGCGGGGATCCGCGAGCCCACTGCAGCTGGGCGGCTTGGCGCGGCCCTCGCCCGCGACGTGGCGGCGCTCCGCCCGATCAACACCTCCTCGACGTACTTCTTCGGCAAGGCGGTGGCGCGCGCCGCGCGGCTGGCGCTCATCGCTGAGGAGATCGGTGCTCCCGACCAGGCGGCGGCGGTGGCGGCGTTCCTGGATTCCAACCTCAGCCCCTGGTTCGATGGATCCAACGCGGGGAACGCGATCGTCTACGATGGGCAGTGGGGTGGATTGGTGAGCCAGGCCGGGGCTTTCGACTCGGGCGCGGACTTTGGCCTGGGAGTGTACAACGATCACCACTACCACTGGGGCTACTTCGTCTACGCGGGCGCCGTGCTCGCCAAGCTCGATCGCGGCTGGGGCGAGCGCTACCGCACGAATCTCTACTCGCTGGTGGGCGATTACATGTCCCCGGCGCCGCCGCGCTCCGGATCATCGCGCGCGAATTTCCCGCGCTTCCGCCACTTCGATCCGTGGGTGATGCACTCCTGGGCGGGCGGGCTGACCGAGTTCGCGGATGGGCGCAACCAGGAGAGCAGCAGCGAGGCCGTGAACGCCTACTACGCGGCGGCGCTGCTGGGGCGAGCCTACGGCGACGAGGATCTCGCCAACACCGGCAGCGCCATCGCTGGATTCGAGGCGCTGGGCGCGAAATCGCTGTGGCACATCCGCCGCGACAGCGATCTCTACGAGCCGGAGTTTGTTCGCGAGAATCGGATGAGCGGCGTGGTGTGGGCGAACAAGCGGGACACTGCGCTGTGGTTCGCGGCCACGTCGGTGCTCGAGTGCCGCGTCGGCATCCAGGTCATACCGGTGACGCCCGCCACGGAGGCGCTGTACGACGACGTGGACTACAACCGGCAGCTGTACGAGTGGGCGTCGCCGGCGGTGCAGAGCGACACGTGGCGGGGGTTCGCGCTGGCGGTGCAGGCCACGTATGATCCGGCACGCGCGCGTGCCAACGTGGAGCTCCTGGAGAGGTTTGACGATGGGAATTCCTTGTCCAATATGTTGTGGTGGGTTTACACGAGGCCCAGCATCACGTAGGAGCTTTTTTCATCGTTTTTACTTTCTACTATCTATTACACCTGTTGTAAAAAGAGCTGCGCGCCAATCTTTGAATTCGAATCAAGCGGGATATACTCCGGCATCTTGGGGATTTGCGCGCTAATTTCATGTTTCCCTCGAGTAGAAAGTTTCTTCTCTCAGCGCAATGGAAGAAAGAAAGTTTCCTCTCTCAGCGCAATTGGAAGAAACCTCGAGGAATCGGGTGCCTATAAGATCGATGTCGAGAGTTTCTATCAGCGCAATCTCCAGCAATCGGGCAGATCCATGCGCGAGAATCCTACGAGAATATGGAATTGCTCCTTGTGATTGCTCTTGTCTCTATGACCATCGGACTCGCCGACAGCTACAGCGCTGCGATTCGGGCCAGCCTCCAGCAGGATAATTCCATCGATCAAGAGTTCCTGGACGCGCACAACGCCGCCAGGGCCGCGGTAGACGTCCCGCCGCTCTCGTGGGACGCGAGCCTGGCCGAGTTTGCTCGGGGCTGGGCGTCCAGGCTGCGAGACGCCGGCTGCACGAACTTGGTTCACTCGGGGGGCATGTACGGGGAGAACCTGTGGTACGGGCCCGGAAGACCCAGCGACGCCGTGGGGCTGTGGGTGGCGGAGCAGCGCTTCTACGATCCGGAGAGCAACCAGTGCAAGAGTGGCGAGGTGTGTGGGCATTACACCCAGGTTGTCTGGTCGAGGTCCCAGAAGCTCGGATGCGCGTATCTGAGCTGTGGAAATGGATTGTTTGTGGCGAGCTGCAACTATTATCCGAGAGGAAACATTGTTGGAGAGACACCATTCTAGAGCGGGGTTTAAGGTTTAACAAACCCTAAAGGTAGTATAAAGGTAGGGTTTAAGGACCTTAAAGGTATAGATCGTTCAAGGGTTTAACGATCTGTTGCTAAAAGTTGTGAACAGGAGTTTGGATAGGCTTGGCTGCGTGATCATGAGCAGAATATGCGCCCTTCTTCTACGTTTGCCTGAATCGTTGGATCCAAGCCGGCGCCGACAAGATTCCCGTGCACACAAAGCGCTGTTTTCTTGCGCTCGCTTTTGTTTGTTATGGCTCGCCTCGCGTCAAAGCACAAATTCCATGACACCCCAAAAGCCTTCCCTCGTTCTCCTCCTCCTCCGAGAGCAAGAACAAGGAGAGAGAGAGGGAGAGGGAGATCGGGGAGATAGTTTGTTTTGCTTATGGTTTGGGCGATAATAGATATAAGTATTCTCAGTCGACACAACACAACAGAGAGTCGATCCATGCAGAACTGCGCCACCCCACCCCCACTCTTACCCTTCTCCCAGCTCCACTTGGAGTGATCTTTGGAAGTTCCAGTACCAAAGATCCAGCGAAAGCCCAATTTCTCATCTCGTCAAGCTCGCTGGATTCGAGAGATCATGACCAACAACAACAGCTTGATCACATTCATCCTTCTCGCAATCGCCGTCAAAGCACTCGCGGGAGACGATGATCAATGCTTTGGCAGCATCAACAACGCGGCGGCGGGCATTCCCTCGCAGCTCTGGTCCACCGATCTCCGGAGCTCCGGCGCTCCACTCCCCACCAACGCATTCTGGCTCAACTACGTGCTCCAGGACGGATCCCAGCCCGAGTACATCCACCCCTACTCGATCCGATTCAAGCAAGGCCTCGTCTCCCTGTGCTATCCCAAGCGCCTCCTCCAGCCCACCGCCGTGATCCAGGTCCACACCGACGATCTCTCCATCTCGTGCAAGGAGGAGCCCGGCACCGCCTTCGCCGTCTCGGCCTTCGACGACCTCAGCGTCACGCTGGCCAGCCAGGGCCGCCGCCTCACGGTACCGCTGGTCCGCGGCAGCCCCTACGTCACCTTCCTCTTCCGCGGCGGTACGCCGCTACTGTCCACCATCAACGCGGTGATCAACGTCACCTCCAACCCGGACGCCACCAAGCACAAAATCCTCTTCAACAGCGGCCAGACCTGGCTCCTCTACTCCTCCTCGCCGCTTCCAATCTCCATCGACGCCACCACCAGCAGCTTTGCGCTCCGGGCCGACGCCAGGCCCTTCACCGGCACGATCCGCGCGGCAGTGCTCACCGACCCCGCCTCGGAGCCCACCCTGGACACGTACAGCCAGTGCTACGCGACGCGCGGTACCGTGGAGTTTCCAGCGCCCTTCACAATGCAGCACAAGTACACCACCGCCGGCGGCGCGGGGGAGCTCCTGCTGCTCAGCCTGCCCATGCACCGCAGCATACTGCAACAAGCCGGCGGCACGGGTACGAACGCCGCCCGCGGCATGCCGTCGCTGACGTACAACAGCATCGACGGTCAGATGGAAGGCGTGGTGGGCTCCACGTGGACACTCCGCGCGGGCGGTGCCAACGTCAGCTGGCATTCACCGCGCGGACTCCGTGCGGACCCAGCGGCGTCACACGAGATCAGCGCCGCGCTGCAGCGGGACGTGGACGACCTCCCGGGCGTCATAGTGAACTCGTCCACGTACTTCTTCGGCAAGGCCGCTGCCCGTGCCGCGCGGCTCGCTCTCATAGCCGAGGAGGTGGCCAGGCCCGACTTGACGGGGAGGATTGCCGCCACCTTGAGGAGCTCGCTCGCGCAGTGGCTGGACAGTAACCACGCTGTCAATCCAAACATGAGTAACAGCATTGGCTATGATCGCCAGTGGGGAGGCCTCGTGAGCAGCGACGGTGCCGCCGACAGTGGTGCCGACTTTGGCCTTGGAATGTACAACGATCACCACTTCCACTGGGGCTACTTCGTCTACGCGGGAGCCGTGCTCGCAAGAATGGACCCGGAGTGGGGGAGCCAGCACCGCTGCCAGCTCTACTCTCTCGTGTCCGACTACATGCAGCACGGTACCTCGCAGCACAACTCGGGCAGTGCCGCGCGGTACCCCCGCCTCCGCCACTTCGACCACTGGCTCATGCACTCGTGGGCCGCGGGGCTCAAGAACTTCGCCGACGGCCGCAACCAGGAGAGCACCAGCGAGGCCGTCAACTCGTACTACGCGGCGTCGCTGCTGGGCTCCGCCTTCCACGACGCGGCGCTGGCCGAGCTCGGCGTCACGCTGGTGGCCTTCGAGACGCACGCCGCGCAGTCGCTGTGGCACGTACCGCTGGGCAGCGAGCTGTACGAGGCCGAGTTTGTGGCGCGCAACCGGATGATCGGGGTGCTCTGGGCCAACAAGCGCGACACGGCTCTCTGGTTCGGTCCGCCCGAGTGGCTGGAGGTCCGGCTGGGCATCCAGGTGCTGCCCGTGACGCCGGTGACCGAGGTGCTCTTCTCGGACACCGGCTTCGCCAGGGAGGTGGTGGAGTGGGCGTCTGCGGATATGGACTCGCGGCCCGAGGCCTCCGACGGCTGGAAGGGGTTCGTCTTCGCGCTCCAGGCGAGCTACGACCCCGCCACTGCTCTCCACCACGCCAGGCAGCTCAAGGAGTTTGACGACGGCAACTCGGCCTCCAACTTGCTCTGGTGGATCCACACACGGGCTGCCAATCCCGAGAGGCTCTAGCCGAGAAGCCTGCTTGTGTGCGTTAACCAGTAAAGCTCTCACCACCTTGTTGATGAGAAGCTCCAGCTATGGCATAGAGTTGAAAGCGTTTCCCAGCTGACTCGATAGATCTTCGCCTGTACTCTCAAGCTCCGAAAGATTCGACCACCTTGAAAAGAAAGCTCGAGTTTTGCAGCCTGTGTGTGTTAACCAGCTTCAAAGTTCTGACCACCTTGTTGAAGAGCTATCGCATAGATTTGCCAGCGTTTCCCAGCTGACTCGATAGATCTGTCCCTTGTACTCTCAAGCTCCGAAAAAAGTCGAGAGATTCGACGACCTTGAAAAGAAAGCTCGAGGTTTTCCCACCTGGCTATCTTCTCTGACCGGCCGCCGAGGCTTTGAAAGCGTTTTCGAGCTGAACAAACACCGCCGAAGTTCTCAGCTCCTTGGATCCGAAAAGAAGAAACTCGGCCGCCTGCTGTCCCCGGCCGACGTCCTTGTGGATTCCGCAGCCTCCCAGCAACGCCTCCAGTGTCACCGAGTCGGGATCATACGGAGTAGCGTCGATCACATCCACGGCCTCGTCCAGCCGGCCTGCTCGGGCCAGCATGTCCACCATGCAGCAGTAATGGTCTCTCGTCGCCGCCACGTCGTGGTCCGCGAGCATGGAGCGAAAGCAGCCGAGTCCCACGTCTACGAGCCCGGCATGGCTGCAGCAGCTGAGGATGGTGATAAAGGCCACCTCATCCAGCTCCATTCCCTGGAGCTCCATCTCCTGGAACGCTTGGACGGCATCTCTCCCGTGCTTGTTTAGAGCGTAAGCTCCCACCATCGCCGTCCACGAGACCAGGCATCGGTGTGGAGCCGAGTCGAAGGCCTCTCGAGCTTCTTGCAGGCTTCCCTTCAAGCCGAAGGCCGTCACCATTGCGTTCCAAGCCATAGCCGGGTGGCAGGGCATTCTCTCAAACACCGCCTTGGCTTTGTCGTGGCGGCCTGCGAGAGCGAAGGCCTGGAGCAAGCCGGTCCAGGAAGCAGCATCGCGGCTGTGCATCGCCTCAAAAATCTTCTGCGACTCTTGGAGATGGCCGTGTTGAGCATTCCCTGCCAGCAAAACATTCCACGTAAACGAGTTTCTCTCCGGCAGCCTGTCAAACATCTCCTTGGCTTGCTCGAGCTCCTTGCGCTGGACGAGAGCAGCCAGAATCGCCGTGCACGACACCACGTCGTGCTCCACCATCCTGTCGAATCCCATCTTGGCCGATTCATAGTCGTCGCGAAGAACATAAGCTTGCACCAAAGAGGTCCACGAAACCACTGTTCTCTCGGGCATCTGCTCGAACAAACCCTTCGTGTCTTCCACACTGCTCTTCCCCGAGCCAGACAAGGCCAGCATCGAGTTCCAAGATACCACCGTCCTCATCGGGATGTTCTCAAACACGGTTTGACAGTCGCAGAACCGGCTGCCGCTGGCAAAAGCCGAGAGCATGGCGTTCCAGGACACCTCGTTGCGTTCGGGCATGCTGTCGAAAATGCTCTTGGCTTCCACCACCAGTCCCTGCCTGGCAAATGCTTGCAGCACTGAAGTCCAAGTTACTGTGTCCACCAGTGGCATCCTGTAGAACAAGCGCTCGGCTTCCTCCATATACCCTGCCTGAGCATAGGCCACCAGAACCGTGTTCCAGGTTGCAATGTTCCTCTCGGACGAGCAGTCGAACAAGTGCTTCACCCTGTCCAGATACCGGTTCCGGGCATACGCCTTCATCATCAAGTTGACGGAGTACGTGTTCGGCTCTGCGATACTATCGAACACTTGGACTGCATCCCGTAAACTTCCACACTTGCTGTACATTTCGATGAGAAGGTTGGCTAGGTAGATGTTTCCCCTGTTGCTGCCGCTGGAGATGAAGTCATGAATTCTCTTCCCCTGAGAGAGGTCCTTCAGGTCTCCGCATTGTCTCAAACTGCGAGCGAGAGCTTCGATGGATACAAAACGCATGTGTCAATTTACAAATCATGTACAGACTTTTACCGCTACCGCCAGTACTGTGCCCACCGATGGATCGTCTCTACCATCTGAGGAAACAACGCACTGACACTGTCGTTTATGAGCGTCTGGAAGAACTGAACGGCTTCTTCGTCATCCAGGTCGAGGCGGAACTTTTCTTGAAGCTGAAAACAAAACAAAGAAGCTCAGTACCGGAAAGATGAACGGGCGAGGGTATACTTTTAAGACTCCCTTTTCTGGATCAGAGGAGATGTCAGGCAGATTGGCCCCCGACATGAGAAAGAGAAGGTTCAATATGAGATTGCTTGACTTGCGCAGTATATTGTAAGCCTCGCAGCAGTACATCTTGAACTTCGAATAATGTTGGCTGTAAAGAGTACCCAAATGAAATCATCCAAGTAGCAGCTTTACCACTAACAAACCTGTCCATTCCGCCCATAGCTTCCACCATTTCTTTACATAGCTTCATTGGAGGGGGAAACGGTTTTGAATCCCTTCCAAGAATGAAACCGAAGTCGACATGAAAGAGCCTTCCATCCTGCTGGAGAAGTAGATTGTCAAGATGCCTGCATAGAAAAGGAAAAAAACGTCAATAATTTTTAAACAGCATTCAATAGTACCTGTCGCCAACACCGAGTATGTACGTTATAACACAGTATCCCGCACAGCTCTTGACAAAGGTTTCAAGGCAAGGAGAACTTATCCCGAATGGGCCCTCTTCATCGGGATGGAACTGTTTAAAGAACTGGATGATCGTCTTGTTCTCGGCCAAAACCTGTAAGAATCGTCAGAAACACAAGAGAATGCACATGAATCCCGGTTACCTGAGCCAAAGGTGTAGAATGTATAAATTCCACCATACCTTCCTCGTGCGAAGTGGAGAGAACTCTGTAAGGAGTTAGCTGCAAGTCAAGGTTTTCAGACTTAAGCAGCTTGTCCATGAGCGTTATGAGCTGAATCACCTGTAAGTTTGACAATAAAGCAATGATCAAAACACTTAAACATTTGAAATTGCATACCAATTGATCTTGCCGCAGATCGTCCCCTTTCTTGAATATCACTCTGCACTTGCCACCCTCGACGGTCCGAAATGTCAATCGCAGCGGACTGAGGTTGCTTTTGAATACGGATGACTCGGCCGGTAAAATACCGATGAGCATAATTGTGGGATCCAACGGGAAAGGCAAAGCTTCGAAAGATGTGAGTTCGTTCATAATCCCCTGAAGCATTTCCCGCAACCTGTCGATCTTCTTCTGTAAATTTCCGCGGACATTCTTTACATCCCGTGCGATAGTGCAAAGCTTCGCAAGCAGCTCAGACTGATGATGTAGCAGAGCAGCCATTGGAGGAGCAACGGACTCGTTGAAGTGCTCCAAGACCAACCAAAAACGCTTCGCATATACGACGTCGGCAAGTTCTACGTTGAGATACCACCGCAAGAAGTTTGCTAGCTCAGTATTGTGGACAGCTGCAAGAAACAAATATAGTGTAAAACTAAAAAATACGCAATGCTTACCTCTTTGAACCAGAAAATTCGCAAGGCGGGACTTGTCAGATCGCTCAAAGCGTAGGGCCTGCACAAGTTGGAATAGATACGACTGCAGTTCCTCATCGCCGGTCCTCTCGAGCACGTCAATTGCGTGGCCTCGAACCTCCTCACTTTCAAAAGCATGCGATAAAAGCTCCAACGCGTCAGCGATGTCAATCGTAGTCCACTTGTGCATTAGTTCTAATGCCTGCTTTGCTTCCTGCACCAAAAGTAGTTATAGATAAACAATAACAACTAGCTAATACCGTTGCATCGCTCCAGTCAACACATTTCAAGAACTTGGTGAGCGCTCTCTTCTCCCCCGTTAACGAGAACCGGAATTTCCACAGCGTCTGTCTTTCTTCTCCGTTCAGATTTCTTGTAGGGGGGTACTGCAAAATTCGCGCTATTTCCCTGCATCATACACCCGAGTTGTGAGAAATAGTAATCAGGAACAAGCTCTAAAGCATACTTCCGATCCGTGATGCTGGGCTTTAGTTCGTGATCAATGACGCCTCTTGTCACATGACGAGCCAGTTTTATTTGCTTGTTCTCGCAAGGATTTTGACGACCAACTTCTGGATCAGGTATCACAACCAGTTGATGTCTAGGGGATTGGAGCACTAAATCCTGTTCGAAGAGAAAACATCAGAGCCCGAAAAGAGAAAGAACACGTCACAACAAACCTGGAATGCGACAGGATGCATAAACGATAGAAGCTCCACGACCAAATGCAAGTTCTTCTGACCGATCCGTTTGCTTTCTTCCTCTTTGATTCGGTCGATGGCTTTGAAAGTCAAGTTGTCCAGCCAATCTATACGTTCGATTTGGCCTCTCTCGTATTTATTGAGAGCCTTGTCAAGCCTTTCCAGCTCTCCCCTTTCATGCTTCGGAACCTGCAACTTACTTGCTCGTCAAGAGAAAGAAAGAGCTGAAAACTCACCTTGCCTGGCGTGCTACTAACGACTGCTCCATCAGCGATCCTACCACGCCACAGCCGGAGCTTTTGCTTGCCAGTCTTGAGCTCTTTCTTCTTGCTGAAAATCCGAAAGCTTGCACCACCGACAGCAACTTCTTGCCTTGGGTACGAGACGTCCCAGACCTGCAAGGATTTTTTTCTCCATTGCTCAAGACTCTTCCTCAAAGAACAAAGAAAGAAAAGGAAATTTCTTACAGTGAATGTCAGCTGCGTAGTGGCCGTCAAATCTCTGTACTTGGCGCTGAGCGTGATCATCTCGTTCCATTTGTATGGCTTCTCGATCGGTGCCAAACTAAGGACAGCTACATCAGACACAGAGAGAAAGAATTCGAAATATTTTCCTACCGCGTCTTGGTCGGCAGGCCGAAGAGCACGCCATCGATGTAGAGCGAGCATTCCACGAACAAATCAGGGACAGGGCTGTGCTCCGCCAACGCGAAATCCGTGGCATTCTTGAGAGTAGCCTCCGTGTACCGCTGGAGATCGCCCTCCAGCGACTCGACGCGCAGCGTGACGGGCAGATTGATATCGGAAGAGAGGAAGAATCGCTCGCCATTGCTGCCCGCCATGAAGCATACTCACTCCCCCAAGAACCCTAAACACTGCTATTACTAAAAATGCAAAGAGGAAAATGTGAATATTCGTTATGAAGTTGAAAATATTCTCCACAATGAACTTTTGCTACTATCAAATCAAAGAGTTTCTAAGAGCATGCTTAAAGCAAAGAGACCTGTACAGCTTGGAGCGAGGACCTCGCTATTCTTTTTTCACCCTCTCTCTGTGGAGATTGATCACCAGATCTCCCGCAGGATCCCAAACAGCGACGTCGGCTCGGCTGCTGCTTCACTCCCGGCTGGCGTTTCTTCGCTGAACTCTGGAAATTCGGTGGCTACGTCGTTGATCTTCTGGAATTCACGACCCAAAAAGAGAGAACAACGACACTCTTAGTAAACAATGTGAAAGGGAAAGGAGAAAAAGGAAGAAATGCAAGTAGTACCTCTTCCGCGCTCAATGATTCCATATCCAAGTCCAAGTTCTTCAAACGCTCCTGGTACCATCGTCTTCCAATGATGATCATGCCGGTGACGGTGGCGACCACCACAATCGACCAGAGGGTGCTACTCCTGTTCACCTTCTTTGCCACAAACTGGAGCCTCCTCTTGATCCATTCTTTGCCCCCACTCTTATCCTTGGCAGGGGTCTTGTTGACAATGGTGGCGGCAGCGACGATCTCCCCCGTGACAACTCCTCCCTCGCTCTTGATCTCACGCGAGCCCTGGCCGGAGTCCCCGAATTCCAGGGGGGCGGTCTCGCCGCTCCTCGGGCTGGACAGCGACGACACGAGAATCTGCTGCTCGATCTCCGCCGTGCCGCTGGAAATCTCGCTGGCCTTGGCCGCAGCAGCGGCGGCGACATCCTCCTGCTTCGCCACATCCCCGCCGAGAGCAAAAATTTCTCCCGGAGCCGAGCCGCCGCCCACCGCCTGGCCGAAATATTGCGAATGCAGAGTGAGATCCGCCACGCCGCTGGAAGAATCGTGGGACGGCGCCGCTTCGGCAGCTGCTAGGGCAGATTTGAGGTCCGCCGCGGAAGATCCTGTCATGGACATGGAGAGAAGCTCCCAATCGGTGGGGACGTCGGATTTCTTGTTGTTGCCGCTGCTGTCGTCCATCGCGCTGGGCGATCGAAACCCCACCTGGAACAAAGAAGAACCCTAGAATCCGGAATGCTACACACTCGGAGATGAGACTGGAAACCCCAGTGCTAGTCACTATTTTTGCCAAGCCCGTCCTCCACGTAAGCGAAACACCGGTATCCACGCAAGTAAAATAAAGAAATATCTATCGGCATCGTATTGATTGCTAGCCTTCCAAAAAATACCGAGATTTGGATTACCTTTGGAACGATCTAGCTCGAAACTGGCAAACTATTTGAGATCTTTGGAACGATCGAGCTCGAAACTGGGAAAACGATAAAGAATGATGCAGATGTATCGAAAAGAAAATTCGTCTAATCAATCAATCGAGTTCTCATCCTTGAATGAGTGGGAGGCCAACAGCGATGACGATGAACGTTGCAGGAGCTCCAAATCTCAAGTGATTCCAGAAGGAGAGATTGTATGGATGCTCCTCCATTCTGCTGGCCTGCTCGCTCACGATTATGTTGGCCGCCGATCCAACCAGCGTCAAGTTTCCAGCCACGGTGCTCACCCAGGCGAGGATCAGCCACGCTTTCTTCACGCTCGCTCCCTCGGTTGCGGCGGCCGAGGCTGCTACTCGAGCACCCAAGAGAAGAACTAGAATGAAAACCAGAAAGAAGAGATCATGAGCAAAGAAGAATACTCTCGTCCTTCCAAACTTACCTGTAGGCACATTTGATGCAACGTTGGAGAGGAGGATTACCACCGCGGACAGAATTGCAATTCCAGCAGCCGTGTTGATGCGAGCGTGTGGTTCGACGGCGTCCCAGAGTTGTCCAGGAGCGCCAGTCCGGTTGAAACCACGCACTGCTATAAACATCCCCGAGAAGAATACCAGCAGGGAGTATGATACCTGGTGTAACCAGTGACGCAAGCAAGTACCACCAAAGAAAAAGATAGAAAAGTTTGGCGCTTGCCTGGTCGAGGCTCGGACTAGCATCCGTGAAGTCCAACACCATGAGAACAATCGCCGCGGTGATGGCCGTCCATGAGAGATCCAAGCCGTAAAGGAACGCCACCAGCATGCCGATCGTCACCAGATACACGGACACCTTCCAGACCTTCTTCCGGAATCTTTGAAACCGACTGAGACTTGCCTGTGGAGTGTCCTGAAGCTCGGCGTGAGGAGGAACTTGGAAGTGCCCGGAACCTTTGGGCTCTAGCCGCAGGATCTCGTTGATGGCAATGAGCGACGCGCGTTGAAGGTGGCGGGACGACGAACTTGATCTAGGCAGCGGAGGAGCTCCAGCTTCTTGCCTCAATTGTCCGTCGGGTGTGCTAGTAGATGCTGCTACACTCTTTCCAAGGTCGGGTGTATCAGCTGCTTGTCCTTCCAGGTCTGGAGTTTGGTAAGAACTGTCCTGCTGTTTTGGTTCTTGTCGATGATCTTGCTGCTGGCTTCGTTGTTCTTGAGTGAAGCTCAATCCAGAATTGAGCAGCTCCGTCTCCGGCCGCTGCTGCTCTAGTTTGATCGAGATGTCACTACTCTCAGCGTCCTCGTCCACACCTCGCAGCTTCTTCCAGTAGTAAGCCAGCAAGAGCAGCGTGTTTGCAATGAGTCCCAGGACCATGGCCGGCACCACCCCACCCAAAAACTTGCCAAACGCGATCTTGCTCTCCACGGCGATCACCAAGTTCTGTGGATTGCCGATCGGGGTGGCCGCGGAGCCAATGTTGGCACTGGAAGCAAGAGCAATCAGATAGGGCTGAGGGGGGAGCTTCTTTTCTCTGCATACCTCGAGAACAAACTGCGTGAGCACGACACAGGTGGTGTCATTGGTGAAGAGCGCGCTACACAGCGCCGAGAGGAGGCAAAGCCGACATAGCAGATCCTTGCCGCCGAGGCTCCGCCACGAGAGGGCGTGGCCCAGGTACTTGAACGCGTCGGCCCTCTCCAGATAGACGCTTACGACCATGGTGCCGAAGAGGAGCCCCAGAATCGGCAGATCCACGGCCGCGAATGCCTCGGCCGGCGAGAGAACCTGGAAGACGACCATGAGGCAAGCGCCGAGCAGCGACCCGGCAGTCCTCCCGATCGGCAAGAACGGCACCACGGGCACCACCGCCATAATCCAGAAGACGCCGAAGGCGAAGCATCCCAGGACGACCTTGGGCGTCGACGCCCACGCCATGGCGGCAGCTTCTCCGCACCGAATCGATCAAGCCTGGCTCGCCGCCCTAGCGCGAAGCTGCGCGACCTAAAATATTTTCATCCCACCGTGACACATTTAAGCGCGCCAATGACGTCGGCATATTCTGGGTTTAGGGCTCAAGTAAAATTCAAAGTTTCGCGCCAATAGCCCTTAGAATATGCTGGAATTTAGGGTAAGCACTTTCTCGCCTTTTAGCGATGCGGTGGACGATGGCCACGAAGACTCCCCTCGGCTCTCGTTAGGTCCCTAGCGATGGTCGATAGGGATCGATAGGGAAGATCTTGCGTCTAATGGGGGCGGCCCTTCTCCTTGTGATAGCGATTCTGCGCAGCTGCCACTCCTTGACGATCCACCAGTGCGATTTGGACGCCGGCGAGGAGAATGCTCTCGCGGCCCTGATGCAATCACGCATCGGCGTGTTCTATTCCTGCGATCGGTCGGGGCATGTTAAATCCTTGGAGCTGTATGCGAAGGATGCGAGAATCATCCCCAGGCAAGTTTGTGATTTTCCATGGCTGGTAAGCTTGTCCGTCGTTGGTGGTGAGAATTCCCTCCCCTCTTGCTCTTGCGGGATTGCTAGCCTCGAGCATGTAGATCTCTACTCGTTTTCGTCGGAGTCCTTTCTTCCAAGTTGTGGTCCCCGTGATCTTCCTAGCTTGGTGTTTCTTCAGTTTTATAGTGTCAATGCCTCGATCCCCATGGACACGGTTTGCAGTCTCTTCCATCTCGAACAGCTCCATATTATAGAGAGTTATTTGTTTCTAGGATCCATAGCTTGTGTTTCCAGGCTTTTGCATCTTACCACCATTCAACTGACTAGGTGTGGCTTGATGCTTGAGATTCCATCGGAGTTATGTGAGCTAGAACGCTTGACAGAACTGGATATGAGTCAAAACTCCCTCTTTGGTCCCATCCCTCCGTGTCTAGGATCCTTGAAAAATCTTACTGAGCTTCTTCTCTTCCAAAACAACCTGAGTGGGAAAATCCCAGCCTCTCTCGTCCAGCTTAAACTTCTCAAGAGCCTAGTCCTGTATGCCAATAACTTGGAAGGTCCTATTCCACCACTTCAAGGGAATAAGATCGAGGTCTTGGATCTATCAAGTAACAACCTCACAGGTGCATTGCCGGACGTCATAGCAAACTTATCGAGCTTGAGAGTACTCTCAGCAGCCAATAACTCACTTAGCGGCGTTCTTCCTCGTTTCGCCAGCAGCTCCAGGATACAGGAACTTGATCTTTCAACAAACGAGTTTTATGGGCCGCTCCAGCCAACTATATGCAACCTCACAAGGCTAAGTGTTCTCAGGCTTTCACGTAACTATCTCAACTCGGACTTCTTGTTAACTCCCAATTGTTTCCAGAGCATAACAGAGTTGGACTTGCACGCCAACCAGCTCTATGGACGCTTGCCTCCAGGTTTGCTGAGCTTATCCACTTTGGAGAGAATAGATCTTTCTATGAATCAGTTCACAGGCTCTCTACCAGCACTAGGCCACAACATGACCGGTTTGACATCCATGGAACTATCTAACAACTGGCTAACAGGAACTCTGGAAGACTTGCGTTTTAACGAGCAGTGCAATCTTGGAGGTTTAGACTTGTCACACAATGACATCGGTGGCACCATACCAGGCTACATAAGCAACTGCAGCGGATTAAATGTGCTAAATCTCAATGACAATTCTTTTCAAGGGACTATTCCATGGGAACTCGGCAACTTGGTTGGCTTGGGTACGGTAATGCTTCGGGGTAACAGGCTAGGCGGGGAACTCCCAGAGAGTTTAGGAAACTTGACAGTGTTAACTGTTCTAGAACTGAGCGAAAACAGTTTTACAGGGAAGCTGGAATCGACGGGTATAAACAGGCTGCGGTATCTCAACCTTCTCCTACTCAGGTCGAACGCCTTCGATGGATTAATTCCAAACTGGATAGGGAGCTTTTCGGCTTTCCTCTCTGGGATAGATCTTTCACACAACAGGTTCTCTGGACAACTCTCTCATGACATAGATATGACGGGCTTGGGAATCATTCCCCTTCCAAGGTGGCCATTGCAGCTGCTTGGCTTCCCAATAGTAAACGACATACTTATCAATCAGAAAGGACAGCTTCGTCGTTATGAGAGCATGCCATACCAGATAAGTTTTCTCGATCTCTCCAGCAACTTTTTAGAGGGAGAGCTTCCGGACTCTTTCGGTAACATGCAGCGGCTCATGTACCTGACACTCTCGGGAAACAGGTTCAGTGGAAAGATCCCGGCTAGTTTTGGAAGACTTTCAGTGCTTGAGGGCCTAGACTTGACAAGGAACAGACTATCTGACTCAATTCCGGAGACTCTCGTCAATCTTACTAAGCTGGGATACTTCAACGTTTCTTACAACAATCTCTCAGGAACAGTTCCCTCCAAAGGCCAGTTTTCTACTTTCGGCTGCGATTCATATATCGGAAACAAGTACCTCAACCTGCCCTGCTCCCAAGTTCTAGAAAGCGGGCTTGTGCAGAGAAAGATGGTAATTGGTTGGCATCGCGGGTTGATACTTGGTTTGATAGGCGTGGCCATTGGCTGCGTCGTACTTCTGGTTGGGTTTGCGTTCCTCTACTACTACAAATGGAAAGTCAGAACTCCAGCAGCAGCTGGCGAGCAGAAACTTTGCTCGATCTCGTCAAGCATGAGAAAAAGCGAGCTCTGGACCGCCACCCAAGGCTTTGACGCCAAAAACATAATCGGAACAGGCGCTTCGAGCACTGTTTACAAAGGCAGGCTAGCCCGGGATGGAAAGTCTGTGGCCATCAAAGTTTTCAGGCCTCGGAAGGATGATTGGAACTCGGCAACGGAAATTGAAGCCTTGAGCAGAATCAAGCACAGGAACTTGGTCCGTTTTCTCGGGGTCTGCTGGGAGGACGACTGTAAGGCACTTGTGTTTGATCTCATGCCGAATGGAACACTCGACTCACATCTCCATGACGTTTCCGAGAAGGTTAAGGTTTTCACCATGAAACAAAGGCTGAAGGTTGCTCTCGGAGTGGCTTACGCTGTTCGATACCTCCACCACGAACTCAATGCCGGCGAAGCAATCGTTCACGGAGACTTGAAGCCGAGCAACATTTTCCTGGATGACGAGATGGAAGCGCACGTCGGAGACTTTGGAGCGGCCAGACTCTTGCAAGCTGTTAATGCCTACGAGGATTCCAAGTCGGAGTTGAGAGGCTCCATTGGCTACATGCCACCAGGTACGCTTTACAGCTTCTTTTTAAAACTTTTTCGATGCTTCGAGTTTCCAGAGTTAGCGGTCTCGAACAAGCTTTGCGCGAAGACCGATGTCTACAGCTATGGAATCATCCTTCTGGAAATGCTCACGGGCAAGCGACCCACGAATAGCATGTTTAAAGACGGGAGAACCCTTCACGACTGGGCTCGTTCCAGCTTTCCAAATCTGGAAATCTTGCTGGATCCAACACTGTTGTCCCAGGAAGAGCCTCTCGAGTTCCCGGTGGCAAGAGAACTCTTCCGGCTCGGCATTCTCTGTAGCAGCGAGCAGCGCGAGCACCGGCCAACTATGGACTTCGTCACGTCGATGCTAGCTCAAATAAGCAGCCTGGGAAACTGAATGGTAAGCCTTCTTTAAAGAAGAAAACCCGAGGCTCATATGCTTATATCTTTGTAGCGCTTGAAAATCTCCTCTACTCCTGCGGTAACTTCCGCCGGAAGGGGCCTCGGAACTTGGAAGGCATCGATGTTCTCTTTGAGCTGCTCCATCGTCGTGGCACCAATGATGGTGCTGGTCACAAAGGGACGATCGCGCACAAATCCGAGAGCAAGCTGGACTGGAGTTAAGCCGTGCTGCTTCCCGAGGCTCACGTATTTGTTTACGGCTTCCTGACAGAAACGGCACCCACATCGGGTAAGTATGATGGAAGCTTGTCATGACCGACCTGTGCAAGAGATGTCTTATATCGTCCCATGTATCCAGGGAACGCGTTCAATCGTCCTCGCTTCGCAGCGGGGCTGTCAGGATTGGCGTACTTTCCACTCAAGGCACCGCCAGCCAGTGGAGAGTACGCCAGCAATCCAACGTTGCAGTTGTGATGGCTACACACCTCCGTTAAGTCGACTGTTCACAGGAAACGTTGTCAGACGAAGTCCACGGGATGCGAGTTTGCACCTTCAAAGCGGCAGCGAACGAGCAAGCTGTAGTTGTTTTGGATGCTCACGATCTTGGGAAGGCCGAGCTTCTCCGCAGCATCAGTGAATCTCATGATGCCAAACGATGTTTCGTTTGAGACGCCAACGTAGCGAACCTGGCGTATCGTGAGTATCGTGAGAACGATGAATCAAAACAAGCCTTCAAGCGAGAACCTTTCCCTCCTGAATGACCGAGTTGAGAGCTTCCAGTTGCTCCTCGAACGACACGCTCTCTCGCCACCTCGATACATCGTAGAAAAACTCGCCAAAGAGGGGCACGTATCGATCAGGCCTGAATCAAACTATATAGGAGAAGAAGCAAACAAAAAGATAGAGGAAAACCATACCAGTGTATCTGTAGAAGATCAATGTGGTCCGTCCCGAGGCGCAGCAAGCTCTTCTCCACACTTTCTTTCACGTTTGCTGCGTCGACTCTCACAGTCTTTCCACTCTCGCGGAGGTAAGATGATCGATCGGAATAGCCTGAAACTTTAGTCGCGATTATTACCTGGAGAAACCAACACGCATGCCAACAAGATAGTTTGCAACAGTAAAAAGGAAAAGGAGGAAAATATAAGCTAGGCAAACAAAAGCATCAAGAAATCTAGAGCTTACCTTGTCGCGCGATTGGTTTTTCAGCCAGGAGCCAATGTAGCGATCTGTCCGCCCTTGTGTCTCTTTGGCCGGAGGAACAGGATACTGTCAGACAAACCATGTAAGATACTTCCCAAGATAATACCAAAGCATTCTATACCATCTCGGCAGTGTCGAGTATGTTGATTCCATTCTCGAGGGCATAGCTTAGTTGCTCGTGAGCGTCGGCCTCGCTGTTTTGGACCCCCCAGGTCATCTAGAAGCAAGCCGCAAGCAGCGCGATGGATTGATACTCTCAAAATCCAAGCAAAAAAAACAGTGCAACTTACAGTTCCCAGCGTGACCTCGCTGACGACGAGCTCCGAGTCGCCGAGCTTGTTGTAGCGCATCGAGGCGCTGGCGCTGGCGCGGGCAGCTACATCTCTCCTGGATGTAAATCGAAAACTCCTGCCAGCATTGAGAGCTTGCAATGGAGGAGGAGGAGCCACGGTAGCCATGGCAAGCCCTAAGCTTTAAACCTTGCATGGATTCATTTTTATTAGGGAGAATTATTCGATTTAGTAAAAGTTGATTTTAGTAAAAGCTTTTTTAAGATATATATATATATGTATATGTGAGGGCCAAGTGTATGGCTACGATGCCGTATACTAATATTAGCGTAATAGATTTTGGTAGCTGTCGGATTGGTTTCAATCCGGACCACTCGCTCATGTATATAAGCTAGGGTTTTTGGGCTAATTGAGATGCACATTTCTGTATTCCCTTTCCATATTCCATGCACTCACATTGGTGGAGATGAGGGGCACCTTTGATTGTCCCTGGGGAGTGCTTAGATTTGGGATTTCGGTTTAGATCTAGCTTTTCCATTGGCTAGATCTAGCTTTTTCCATTTCCTTTCTTTTGTTCTTTCCTTTCAGGAATTTGGTTTAGATCTAGCATTTTGCATTGTCTAGATCTACCATTTCTTTCCAGCTTTTTGTCATTTCTCTTCTTTTGCTCTTTCTTTCTCATTCATTTTCATGGCCGATCCACAATCTCCTCCTTTGACTCTAGAGCAGCAGTTGGTTCAATTGCTTGATGCTATGCGCCTGCAATTGAACAACCAAACTCAGTTGATGGCGGCGTTCACGGCACATGGTACAACTCCTCCTGCTTTTGGTGCCAATCCTCGCGTTCGGCCGGAGTTCTTTCGTGGGAATCCTGGGGATGATGTGTACTATTGGTTCGATCACTTCACGGTGATTGCCACATATCATTCTTGGGATGATGCTCAACGTTTGCGTGAGTTCCCCACATGTCTTCCCTGTTGGTGCTGCTACAGTGGAAGGTTTGGACACCGAGATGAATCTGGGAAACAAGGAGTCGCGCGAGTAAGGGAGGGACCTTGCGCGAATAAGTCAGTGACCCCTCTATCTTTCTTTCGGGAGTATCATCAAGGGGTTCACTCGGCACCAGTTCATCCAGTGTTTACTTTCCAAGCTCATCTTTATAACAAGAGGTCTCCTATTCTTCTCTCCATGTTGGTTGATACAGGTTCGAGTTTATCTTCTATTGCTCGACCTGTTGCCACACGTTGTCGTCTACACTTGCGTCGTGCGGCGGATCCAGTTTTCATTCTTTATGGCAACGGCCGTACACATGCATGTGCACGAGATGAGGCGGACCTGGTTGTGCGTGTGGGCGATCTCGAGCTTGAGTTGCAGTCGTTGCGGGTGGTGCCGAGTCAAGCTTTTGACCTCATTCTTGGTATGGATTGGTTGCAGCACAATCATGCCAAGTGTGACTTTGAGGCTTTTCCCCCTTGTCTCATACTTCCTTATGTTTCATCCATTCCTCTCACTTCCGTACCTCTTCGTCCCTCTACTTCTACCTCTGCTTCCATTACTTTTGTTCCCCCATTATTTCCTCTTGTGTTTCCATCTTGTTCTGCTCTTCCCTTTTCCGATCCCTCCGATGATCTTTGTGTTGCAGCTGTTGACCAGCTCATTAAGGAGTATTCTGATCTCTTTGAATTTGACCTATCGTCTGGGGCCAAGATTGCCACACGTCATCCCATTCCAACCGGGGATGCTCATCCAATTAAGGTTCCTGTTCGTCGTCGGTCACCCAAGGAGATCAAGATTTTACGTGCAAACGTCAAGGAGATGTTGGAGAAGGGTGTTATTCGGAAGTCGCGGAGTCCTTGGGCATGTGAACCTCATCTTGTGACGAAGCCTGATGGGAGTATTCGTTTCTGCATCGACTATCGTCCGTTAAATGAAGTGACGATCCCGGACGTGTACCCTCTTCCTCACACTGCTGATCTCTTGGATCGTCTAGGGCGAAGTCGTTGGTTCACCAAGCTAGATCTTGCTTCTGGGTATTGGCAAGTACCGATGGCTGAAGACGATATTCCTAAGACTGTTTTTCGTACACCATTTGGTTTGTATGAGTTTTTGGTGATGCCGTTTGGTTTGAACAATGCTTCAGCAACTTTTCAGCGAATGATGGACGAGGTTCTTTGCAATATGCCGGAGGTGACGGCTGACTTCATTGATGATGTCTTGATCCACTCGGAGGGGACGTGGGAGGAGCATGTTCGTGATGTTTGTAAAGTGTTGGATCGGCTACGTGACGTTGGTTTAAAGCTGAAGCGGTCGAAGTGCGTGTTTGGGTCCAAGGACACAACTTATCTTGGGTACCGTATTTCTCGTGAGGGTTTGCAAGTTGATCCTGACAAACTTGTGGCTGTTCTAAAGTTCCCTACTCCGAAGTGTGTGAATGATGTGCAGCGCTTTTTGGGTAAGGTGCAGTATCTCGGTCGTTTTGTGGATCATCTTTCCGATCGCACTTTACCATTGCGAGCGTTGCTGAAGTCATCAACGTCATCTTTCATCTGGTCTCCCGATTGTGAGCGGGCGTTCATGAATCTCAAAGAGCTATTGACGACTCCTCCGGTTTTGGCATATCCTGACTACACTCGACCTTTTATTTTGCGCGTGGATGCTTCTGACATTGGTCTTGGAGGTGTGTTGATGCAAGAGAGCTCGAGTGTGCCTGGTCAGCGCCATCCCATTGCATACATAAGCCGTACATTACAACCAGCGGAGATGAACTACTCCACGACGGAGAAGGAGTGTTTAGCAGCAGTCTGGGGTTTCGAGAAACTTCATGCCTATCTACATGGTTCTCGGACGTTACTTGAAGGTGACCATGCTGCTGTTACTTCATTATTGAAGCGGAAGAACCTGGTTGGTCGTACGGCTCGATGGGCTTTGAAGCTTCAGATATATGATTTCGATGTTGTTCATCGCCCACGGAGTTCTATGGCTGATGCTGATGCCCTTTCTCGAGTTCCTCTTCCTTCTCCACTCACTTCTCATGTTTCTGACGAACCTGTTGTTCCAGCATCTGTGGATTTTCTAGATGAGGATTCTGTGCCATCGGCGGTTGCTGTCCTTGACGTTCAGTGTCCACAGGGCGTAGAGCAAGATCTACCTTCTCTGGATGAGGTTCGCGAGGCTCAAAAGATTGAGCCGTGGATTCGAAGGCTTCGAGATGGGTTTGAGAATCCTGCATCACTTGCTGATGACTTGCCTTTTCGGCATTTACATTCTCAATATCGCCTTGAAGATGGCCTTCTTTATTTTGTGGGGACGGATCCTGATGCTCATTTACGGCTGGTGGTGCCTTCGGTGTTTATTCCGCGGTTTCTCCATGCCTACCATGATTCTCCTATTCTAGGTGGGCATATGGGACACCGTCGTGTCACCAAGAAGTTGCGCAGATCTTTCTATTGGCCAGAGATGCGACGTGATATTATCCGGTATGTGCGTAGCTGCGTTTGGTGCCAAGCTCGTAATACTCCCCCTTGTGCTGCGGAAGGACGGTTGGAGTCAATTGCAGTTTCTCGTCTGTTTGAGTTGGTGGCGTTTGATCTTATGGGACCTTTTCCGCGATCGACTGCTGGCAATGAGTATGTTATTATTGCTTCTGACTACTTGACTCGTTGGGTGGAAGTTGGTGCTCTTGCTAGTGCCTCTGCAACTGCTGTTGGATACTTCCTCCTCAATCGAGTGGTGTTCCAGCATTCTTGTCCAGAACGGATTCTTTCGGATAATGGTCTTGCATTTATGGCTGAGGTATTTCATGTTTTGACATCTCGGTTGGGGATACGCCACACTTTTACGAGTGCTTATCATCCACAATCAGACGGTCTGGTGGAACGGCTCGTTCGGACGTTCAAAGGGATGATTGCGAAGTATGTGAACTTTCAACATTCGGATTGGGATGGTTATTTGCCGTCTCTTCGGTATGCTTATGTCACAGGGGTGCAGAGTTCTGTTGGTGCTTCACCATATAAACTTCTATATGGTCATGATCCAATATTACCAACAGAGCTAGGTTTACCTTCACGATTGCCACGAGCTCCTGATGCTAGGTCATGGGATCAATATTTGACAAGCATTCTTCCACTTGTCCGAGCAGAGTCTGCTGAACACTTAGGCCGCGTACAAGTGGAACAACAACGGCGCTACAATTCCCATCATTGTCCACCAGCGGAGTACAAAGTGGATGATTTGGTGTTAGTCCGTTTTCCCCATCTTACGGTACGTGGTTTATCTAAGGGGCTCCTTGCGCAGTGGAAAGGACCGCATCGGGTGTTGCGGCAAGTTGGACCACAAGTTTATGAGGTTCGGCATGACGTTCAGCAGGCCGATCCTCCGGAGATTGTGCATGTGCAGCAGTTAAAACGCTTCATACTGAGGGATCAGGAGCAGTTAATACCGTCTATAGATCCACCGATGCCTCCTCCTGACGTTCCTCCAGATCCCGGCCCATCTACAAGAGAACCCTGACGGCCTTCCATTATTCCGAGAGGAGGGGATGATGTGAGGGCCAAGTGTACGGCTACGATGCCGTATACTAATATTAGTGTAGTGGATTTTGGTAGCCATCGGATTGGTTTCAATCCGGACCACTCGCTCCTGTATATAAGCTAGGGTTTTTGGGCTAATTGAGATGCACATTTCTGTATTCCCTTTCCATATTCCATGCACTCACATATATATATATATATATATATATATATATATATATATATATATATATATATATATTCCCTACTTTATAATTAATTTTTCATTATCACTATAAAATCCCTTTGAGTGTAAGGTGTAATTTATAAATAAATTATATTTTAAATTCAAATATAATACCAATATCTTCCTTTTTTTCAATGTTATGAATGTAGCGAACCTGGAGTATCGTGAGAAAGATGAATCAACAAGCAAGAACCTTTCCCTGAATGAGCGAGTTGAGAGCTTCCAGTTGCTCCTCGAACGAGACGCTCTCTCGCCACTTCCATATATCATAGAAAAACTCGCCAAAGAACTCTCGCAGAGGTAAGATGTTAAGCCTGAAACTTTCGTTGCGATTATTACATGGAGAAACCAACACGCAGCAAAAGTAAAAAGACAAAGGAGAAAAAGACAAACTAGGGAAAGAAAAGCATCAGGAAATCTAGAGCTTACCTTGTTGCGCGATTGGTTTTTGGCCAACGTAGCGATCTGTCCGCCCTTCTGTCTCTTTGGACAAAGGAACAGGATACTATCAGACAAACATCCCAAGATACCAAAGCATTGCATTTCACTCTATACCATCTCGGCAGTGTCGAGTATGTTGATCCCATTCTCGGCATAGCTTAGCTGCTCGTGAGCATCTGCCTCGCTGTTTTGGACCCCCCAGGTCATCTACAAGCAAGCCTTGATCAGTCAAAATCCAAGCAAAAAAACCAGTGCAACTTATCGCTGACAATGAGCTCCGGGTCACTGAGCTTGTTGTAGCGCATCGAGGCGCTGGTGCTCACCGGGCAGCTATATTTCTCCTGGATGTCGGCTATATTTTATTATTTTTCTAAAGAATAAAAAACTTATTAATATTTTGTTTCTTTGTGAAGGAAACAAAATTAAAAAACAAATCTCTTATAATCTTTTTGGTTTGCTTAAGTAGTGGATAAACCTAGAATAAACTTGAATATTCTATTCTACCATTTAACGGTTAATCTTGTATTTATAATTTATAAACATGTTTATAATTTATAAACTTTCCTAAACACTTCCTAGTATATTTTTATTTATTCTAATGATTGATATGAAATAAGATTAATCTTGATTTATAAATTATAAACATATTTATAATTATCAATCAATTAAATTATTCAAAAATACAAAATAATAATGACATTACTATTAAGCAAACCAAGCATTGTTGCATGCAATGTGCAGCAAATTATTATGATTACTATCACTCTTATAGATTTTATAGATGAAATAAATGCTTTAACAGCCCATAATAAATCTTTACTAGCCATAATTTTTTTATCCTAGCAAAGCATCTTCAAAAACTTATTACAGTCCAGGTTTATCAATTAAATTATCATGGCTAATCAAAGTATAATATTAAAAAAATTACCATTCATAAGCTCTAACAGGTGTAGACCACCCTTGAGATGTATGGGTTTGAAATATTGCATAATCAAAAACATACCATTCGACACCAGCTTTACCTCCATATTCAGAATTTCCTTGTTTATATGCTGTTATAACTTTGGATTTCCCATCACTTACAATCTTTAAATTGCACCAAAATTCAGTTGTGCCAAACCATCTATCATTGAATGTAAATGGGGGATACATTGCTCTATCCTGGATAACATACTTTTGGAGATCATCATCGTTGGATTGGCAATGTACTTCTAGTGGAGAACCTGCTCTATTTATAACATGTATTGTGGTACCATAGGCATGAATGGTTGCATTATTACATTCACACATAGATATTATATCAATTAGAAATATTAACAAAACCACCTTATAGTTGTATTTCGCTAGAGCCATAACAATGTGTATATTAACGGTTTCATTTATAATAAGTAAGTTGAATACTTCGTTTTTAATAATGATATTTAAATAAAACAAAATTTGTTTTGTTCCATTCCAGCTATGGACGGGGTCTCCAAGAGCGTGCTCGTCATCGGGGCCACGGGTTACATTGGCCGCTACATCGCCCTAGCCAGCGCCGCGGCCGGATTTTCGACATCGGCGCTCCTGCGCGCCAATTCGGGGGCCGCGCCAAATCCAAGGAGGGACAAGGCCATTGAATCCTTGCACGCCGCAGGGATCAGCATCAAGAATGTGAGTGTCGTATCATAGATTTCGGGCTGGCTATCGATTCCCCCTGTCCTTTGCTCCATCCAGGGATCCCTTGACGATCGCGAGAGCTTGATGCTCGCCCTGGAGGATGTGGACATCGTAATATCGGCCGTCGGGATACCTCAAATTCTAGAGCAGCTAAATCTCGTCGAGGCCATGAAGGAGAAGAAGACTGTCAAGGTCTCGAAAGAAAGAGAAGATCTCTCCCCCATCTCATAGGTACTTCTTTCTTCTTCGTAACTTAGGCTAACGCGAGTTTTTTTCTTTGTTTTCTTTTGCTATGTGCTACTAGAGATTCGTTCCATCGGAGTTTGGCCAGGACGTCGATAAGGTGGTTTGTCTAAAGCCGGCCCAGGAGGTGCTGAGCGACCCAAAAATTCGCGTTCGCCGTGCCATAGAGGCCGCTGGAATCCCATTCACGTACGTTATCACGAATGCTTTTGCAAAGTTCCATTTCAACATGCGAGAGGAGAATGGACGACTCTCTCCTCCCGAAAGGTTCGTCATATATGGTGATGGAAACATTAAAGGTATATACATCTTCTCTCCTTTTTTTTTCTTTTCTTCTTCCTCGCTTGTCTGATGCTATGTGTGCACGCAGCTAGTTTTGTTACTGAGGAAGATATCGGAGCCTTCACTGTCAAGGCTGCTGCCGATCCAAGAGCATTAAACAAGACGCTACACATGAGACCACCTGCGAATGCCTTGTCGCAGAACGAGACTGTCGCGATCCTGGAGAGAGAAACCAAGCGGCAACTGAGAAAGGAGGTGGTGTCGCAGGTTGAAATGCTGGAATCCATACGAGGTCATGTTTTCCTTGCCTTCGAATGTTGTGACAGCCCACGCTCACACTCAGCCCACTTGTTCCACAGAATCCTCCGGAGGCTTCCAAGCCGTCATACTGTCGCTCATGTACTCCGCTTACATCAGAGGCGATACTTTTGGTTTCGAGCTGGGGCCGAATGACGTGGTGGCGCATGAACTATACCCGGACGCCAGTTTTACCGATGCACACGGTTATCTCAGTAAGTTTGTCTGAGGGCTCGCCTCTATATTGCTTGCCTCCTTTCTCTTTTGTAAAGTGGTGAGTAAATGTCTACGCATAACACTTTTCTTTTAGCCTTGTTGGACTGAGATAGCGCTCGAAAGCTTGTGCTTGCTCTGAATCTTGCAATGGTGGCAAGCGAGAGAAATGCTTTAGTATTTCTGGAACAGGAGGAGCTCACTCACCCACACAACACACACAACAGTGGTGCGATGGGACAGGGAGCACAAACTCACGCAGTAAGCAAAGCATTATCGCTCCGCCTGATAACACGTGCTTTGTTTTATTCGCTAAACAGGTCCCCGGAAAGCTTGGCAGCCGCTTTGCTCGATTTTTTCTCGCAAAAACTTTTGGATGAGAGCCGAGCGAGCGAGCCATGTTCAAGACGACAGAGAGCCAATCATGCCCTGCAAGCTTTGACTGCTTACTTCCGTCTTGCAACCATCTTCGTTCCATACAAGGAAAGGAGAAAAAATGAGAAGAAGCATTCTCTCGGCTGGGGGACTGGGAGGAAAATAATTCACACGACCAAGTAAGCAGTAATGCCTGGACCACCTGCAATAATTTTGTGAGACAGATCCCTGTGGCCGAATGGAATCGGAGTTTAGTGTTCCTGTTCACAACGAATTGGTGGCCACATATTCCCATGGTAGTTTCTCTCTTCCTTTTTCATGTCTTCTTTGTTCGTTTTTTTTATAGTTTCGTTTCGTGGCAGTACCGATGCACCTTTATTTGTTTCAGGTTTTGGAGTGACTCTTCCAAGCAAGCAAGCAAGCGCTTCTAGTTCTCACATGCCGCTTTCATCTTTCCTTGCACATATCGGATGTGGAGTCCAACTGGCTCCAAGTTGGGAATGATTCAAGGCTCAGACATCTGCCGGGCGTGTCGCGCACTTCATGCAGGTACTTGATCATTGGATTTCTCTCAAGCTTCCAGTATTTAAGTCGCTTGTTGGTGTTGTCTGTGCATGTAGCTACAAGATCGCTGTGAGATCCTTGGCAGCCAAAACTTGGTGAGTTTGCAATTGCTTTGGTTATACTTGCTGCATCGCGTTGGCTCCATCCATCTAGTCTAAACTGGTTTTCCTCTGCAAAGGAAATGAAGAAATCCTCGGAGTCGCAAGAAATCCTACAAAATGGATCCATGGACTACAAGAGGAGGCCGGCTGTGAAATGCCAAACCGGTGGCTGGAAGTCGGTGATCCTCATACTAGGTGCGTGAGTGTTTTTGCAACTTTACTCTCACGCTACAGAGATTGATGAGAGGGACACTGTTGCTGATCCCTTGCAGGAACCGAGCTCTGCGAGAGGCTTGCCACTCTCGGAATCGGTCTCAACCTCATCACCTATTTGGTCACCGAGTTGCATCTCTCACCATCGCAAGCTCCAAACATCGTGACCAACTTCCTCGGTACGTCCTACGTGTGCTGCCTGATCGGAGGATTCGTGGCCGACACTTGCCTTGGCCGGTTCTGGACAATCGTGAGCTTCTCCTTCGTACAGTTCATGGTATGTTTTCCACACGCTTCAAATGCCACAGAAAGAGGCTGACTTTTCCAGTTTTTCTCGAGCAGGGAATGCTGCTTCTCACACTCTCCGCCGGCATTCCGTCGCTAAGGCCTTCCAAGTGCAATGCCGAGGACTACAAAACTTGCCAGCCAGCTCGAGGCATGGAACTGGCGGTGCTCTACATGGCCTTGTATATGACCGCTCTTGGGACGGGAGGCATCAAGGCATGCGTGTCCGCCTTTGGAGCCGACCAGTTCGACGACTCGGATGCCAAGGAGAGGCGCAGCATGGGGCATTTCTTCAACTGGTTCTTCGTGGCGATATCCATCGGAACTCTCCTGGCGGTGACGGTGCTCATCTACATCCAGGACAACGTCGGGAGGAGCTGGGGATATGGCAGCAGCGCAGGCTCCATGTTCATGGCGATATGCGTCTTCCTCGCCGGAACGCCACTCTATCGCTACAGAGCTCCCAACGGGACGTCCATCGTCTCCATTGCGCACGTCCTGGTAGCCGCATTTCGCAAGCGACACGGCATTCCAGGAGACGAGAAAGATTTATACGAGGATCCGGGGCAGCAGAGCGCCAGATTCACTAGAACCAGTGGCTTGAGGTACGAGATTTTCTAGAACAAAGAACGTGCTTTACAAAATCTTTCCTTGCCAGCTTTTTGGACAAGGCCGCAATCGTGGAGACCGGCAGTAGCAGCGAGAAGCAGAGCCCCTGGAGGCTGTGCAGCGTCACCAAGGTGGAGCAAGTGAAGATGCTGATCCGGATCCTGCCGATATGCGCCACCTCCGTGCTCGTGTACACGGTCTTCGCGCAGATGACGACGCTGGCGGTGGAGCAGGGTGCTACCATGCGCAGGAACCTCGGCAAGCACTTCAAGTTCCCTCCGGCATCGCTGGGAGTGTTCGTCCAGCTGAGCGTGATCATCGCCACCCCTCTCTACGACCAAGTCTTCCTCCCGGCCGTAAAGCTCCTGCGGCGGAACCAGATCACCATGCTGCAGCGCATCGGTGGCGGGATGATCTTCTCGTGCCTGGCGATGGTGATCGCGGCGATGGTGGAGAGGAAGCGGCTGGCGTTGGCGAGGGAGCACGGGCTGCTCGATCGACCAAAGGCCACAGTACCGATGAGCATCTTCTGGCTGGTCCCCCAGTACGCGCTGGTTGGAGTGAGCGAGGTGTTCACTTACATCGGCCAGCTCGAGTTCTTCTACAGCCAGTCACCCGAGGAGATGCGCAGCATGGCCACCGGGATGTTCATGAGCACCATCTCGGTGGGCTTCTTCGCGAGCTCCTTTCTGGTGGCTACCATCAACAGGGTGACGGGGGGGAGCGGCCATGGCTGGATCTCCAACAACATCAACAGGGGGAGGATTGACAACTTCTACTGGATGCTCGCGGTGCTCAGCCTGGGGAACCTCGCCATCCACATTGCCTGCGCGACTTGCTACAAGTACAGGGCTCTTCCAGTGGCTCCCCCTCCTCGTGTCGCTGATGCTGCTCAAGAGGCTTGAAGATACGCTCGCTCGAGAGACAAAAAAGGCCTTTTTCTTGTTTCATTCGGGAAAGGAACTATACATACGACAAAGGAACTATACATACATTCATACAGTCTTATATGAGAGAGATTTTATTCGATTGTTCTCTGCAAAGTTGGGATGATTGGGAATTTGATCATGATGGGTGTATCTCCTGTCTACAATGTAAGAAAAAGAATGTTTTTTTTTTTCCTTTTCGAAAGATCATGCTCGAAAGATCATGAGGATTTGGTGGAGGAACTCAAAGATCGCAGCACTTCCTCGGCAGTGATCCATCCGCCGAGGCAACCCAGCGATTTATACTTGACGGCCCCCCACCTGAGAATTCGAGAAAATCGTAGGAGGTGAGGCTTGATCGAAGAGAACAGAGGAGGGAGCTTACCAGGATTTGAAAGGCATGGCGATACAATGTAGATGGAGGTGGCTCACGCTGTTATATGGAGGCCGATGGAATCCAAACCTGTAAGCACGTAAACTCGAGAAAATGTGAGTGAGGAAGCATGAAACACTCCAAGAAGGTCATAGATATGATCACTTGTAGCTCTCGGCCCCAGGAGCGTCCTTCCGCAGCAACGATTCTCCAAGTTTGAGCATCCGCTCGACTGGCAAGAGGAAGAAAGAATTATCTCTCTCTCTCTCTCTCAAAATCTAAGGAAACGCGGAAGGTTTTATTACCGAGTAGAGCATGCTCGTCACCCCTGAGGCTGTTGATGTTCTTGATGTGCTCGACTGGAACCACAAGGTAATGCCTGCAGCGAGCAATGAAAATTTTCATTCCAAAACTTTGTCTATGCTACTTGGATCCTGATGGGCTCCGGTCCTCAAATGCTAGCAACTCGTCATCCTGCAGTGGTGATGGCCATGATTCCAGCTCAAGGAAGTAGAGCTGAATAGAGAACCTGGAAGAGAATATTGCTGGTCCGGCCTGCGCATTTCCCCAGCGCGATCTCACAAAAAGGGCAAAGAGCTCCAGCGCCCATCAGCCCTAAAACAAATTCGTTTTAGAAACAAGTGTTACATTTTAGAAACTAATGATTTAAAATGTCGCGAGATCATTTCTAGCTGGACCTGCAAAAATAAAAACTTTATTCTATCATCTAAAGAACTAGAGCAAAAAAGAATATACCTTTTTATGTTGTTAGCTTGCACTTGGTAATGGTGGGAACCCTTGTGATATTAAACTCGTCCCTTAATATTTGCTACATAGAGAGATCGAGCCTCCCATCTCGCCATCTCATGCAAGTGTGTTTTCTTCATTTTAAAAACGAACTGGTTTAGGGTTTAGTGTGAAAAACCAGGCGCAAATAATATTGGGTTTTTAGGCATCTATTTGGCTGCCAAAAAATCTGACTATTTGCAGAGGAAGCCTTTTTCGATGAACGACTCGATTGTGCGCTTGCGCACTTTTATAACCGAAGCTCCTCACTCCGCAACGCGAGTCGGGTGGCTTCTTGGTTGAGGAACTCGTCCATGGCCGAGAAATCGTAGCAAAGTTGGCCCATACATGGCTTCCTTAGTACTGCGAGGGAAATGATGGACAAGCAAAGCTGCAAGGCAAGTCACAGGCAAAAGCATATTATAAGCCATGCCTTCATTGCCAGAGAGATAAACACTGCAGTCTTGTATTGTTCCTCATCGAGTTTCAACTCTACGTGGCAAAGATCCAGTACTCTGACTACGAGTCCCTGCAAGAATGATCATGATGTCCGCTTCGATAGGAATTTTGACAGTTTGCTGAGCAGCCACACTTCAAATTTAGTGATTGTCAAAATTTCTATCCAAGCCTCCGGTATCAGCACTGCTCTCGCCAGCTTCCAGATTTGCTGCTGCTCGGGCCAGTTTCCATATCTGCCAGAGGGTGCCCATCTGCTGGAGAGAAAAATGAGTGTTAGAACTTTTTCAAGGCACACGACGCAGCTATTCGTGCTCGAGTTGAAGCAGTTCCATTCGATTTGGACGGGCTTGCAGATTCACTGGTAGACCGGCTTGTGATTCCCAATACTTTGATTTGATCAATGGAAATAGTGCTAGAATTGTGTTTGGTGAGACTGTCATTCAAGGATACCACAAGATCTCTGGATTTGTAGCATACCTTGCTACAGTTTTCCCAGGGATAACAGCAAGCATTACCAGTGCTTGCTGTAATCCCGATGCTGCCAATGCTTGCTGTGTTCCAGATCCCTGGGAAATTTCTAGCAAGGTATGCATGGGAAGAGGAGAGTTGTTGTGGAGGCCCCGACCTCGAACTTGCGGCAAGAGAAATCATCCACATCATGAGATCACGGCACAGCATCCTGTCGAAAACCGTTTGCCCGTTCACGATGCTTCCATCCATTCAAAGAAAGCATGATGTGGGTGGGCATGGCATCACGACTTTCAAGCTTCTGTGCCAAAGTTGTCGTCGAGAATTCCTGTAAGATTCCATTGGCATAAAAAAAAAGTCAGAATCCGGCCATGGGCAGGGTGGCATATCCATGAGCTGGACGCCTTGGTCGGGGATGCCTTGCAGCGCAGGTAGCGAGAGACAGCATTATGCCAGACGCAAGTTGCGTTGACAAATCGAATGAACGTTTCCAGCAGCTCCCTGTTACGATCTGCCCATAGAGCTCCCAGTTCTATGTTCCGCACTGCGCAGACATTGGCAGAGAAAGATAAGAGGAAATCAAGAATCTAGCTTCGTAGAACCAGATTTGGATGCATCATGTGGGGGAGCCTCCACAAAATCGTCGACCTGTTCATGGGATCGCAGCACAATATCCAATATGTAGCAAACTGCAGGCGCGCCGTCGGGGAAGCCAGCAAAATCCGCTCGGCCATTTCGATGTCACTCGGCTCGCCCAGCTCGGCCATGACGATGTCTCTCGGCTCGCCCAGCGACGATGATCCACTCACTGCCAGTGCCCTCGATCAGCCGCAGGACGACGCCTCAAAGAGCAAGGACGATCATCCGACGGCCTGGATGACCATGCAACACACGGACGGTGGCGATGTAATCTCTGAAAACATTCGTACACTCGAAGATCGTTCGTACAAGTCCTTTCAAATAACAAGTTAAAACCTGTTATAGTTATGATAATAGTTATAATAAGAATATCCACTGGATCCAGAGGTTTGTCGATTCTTTTGGGCCCTAGGTTTTAGCTATACATATTTTCTTTTAATGAGATCATCCCTCCAGGGAGATTAAAATTACAGCGCCGTGGTATCCGCACCTCGTGGTGCTCAAAAGAATCGAAGACAAACCTTCAAGAGAGAAACAAAATCACTTTAAGAAGCTCACATGCCAACGAGGGTGGCCGACTCGTTGGCTGTGCTGCCCGAGTGCTTGACGCGAGGCTTTGGCGGAGGAGGAGGATTCTCCAGGCACATACAGTCCGGGGCCGGGTACGTGTAGATCGAAGCGCTCGACTTGCGCATCTCGTGGCCCTTGACGTCGTTGTGTCTTTGCATTGCTTGCAAGTGCTTTGAGAACGATTCCCAGCTGCAGTCGAGTGAAACTTAGAGAACAGAGAAAGGAAAAGAAGGGAGGAAGACAAGCTTGCCTGATGCTGGGTCTGTCCAAGAGTTGCACCAGCTTTCGCTTGTCCGGACGTATCGTTTTCGCGTAGCCCTTGTTGAGAAATCGCCTATGGCCGATCAAAAAATGTGGGAAATTGCCACCTTGTGTCGTGACAAAAGCCTCGCTGTGCAGACAAACTGTATAGTCCAGTGCGGCTAACCTCGAGGAGTGCATCTGAGGAAAACAAAAGAACAAGTCATATGGTCAGGGCCTCGTTCAATATCAAAATGTAGAGCTTGCCTTGAATGGTGCAAGCTCCTCATCTGTCAGTAACGTTTCTTTAGTTTGCAGGCTCGGAAACATCTGCTTCAGCGGAAGCATGGTTCTCTCCTCCTTGTAAATCTTCCCTGCAGCCAGAAATATGGGCGTAGAGTTCTTGAATCCCATTCCCCTGAGCATCATTCCGACCTGCAAGTGGCTTTAGACGCGCCAAAGAAGTCACGAGAGCAAAGCGACGGTACCTCCAGTGGAGTGAGGGGACACTTCCCATCCATCCTGTTACCACCTGGACTGATTATACGGCCCTTCCTATTGAACTTGCCTTTCCAGCCCTTCTCGCGTGCAGCATCCATCTCCTGCTTTTCCTCTTCGCCTCCATCGTAAATACAACACGAAAACGCCACCATGTCCTGTAAAGAAACGAGGAAAAAGAAAAACAAAACGACACCGTCGTTTGTTGACATCTGCTCAGAGATGGCGAACGTAAAAAACACGTTACCTCTTCAAACCGCAAATGCACAGCGACATACTTCCCACCGTTCCCAGAGCTGCGCTCTACCATACGCTGAACTAGCAGCTGGCCAATGTCGGATATCGGCTTTGCGAATCTCAGAGCCTCGTAGTTAGTGAAGCATCTAAGCCGCTGCAGAGGTAGAGGAATGTGATCATACGCTAAACGGTTTGCAAAGGGAGCTATTCTGATGACTCTGTTGCCAGCAATACTGTTTGAATTAGATGATAGTCAAAAGGTAGAAAAGAAAGAGCTTACCCGGTTTCAAGGAGCTTGGGGAGGACTTTGTCGAGATAAAAGCTGGGTGGAGATAGAGCCTTGATCCTAAAGTTGAAAATATTACTGAGGTTGCCTACGCTGTCCATGAGATCATCGGGGAGCCGGCTGACAACTCTCACGTCCCTCTGGAGCGCATTAATAAAATGCTGCTCATCATATATCTCCCCGAAAGTGCTGCAATTAACAATCACACACATGAGAGCGAAGAAAGCAAAACAAAAGGCACGCACCTCCTATCCTGCCAAACACTATTAAAATGAAACTCCGGGACAACAAGGGTCGCGTTCAAAAGTGCTGCTACAGCAACAGCGTTGCATATCTATCACCAAGGAAAAAGAGCCACGAAAAGAATCTCAATCAGCCACGGCATTCTTCGAAGAAGAAAAAAAAAACCAAAAAAATCCACAGACTTACGGAAGATCTCTGCTGGTTCAAGCCCCCGTTTGCCTCTATCATCACGAATCCATTCGATGGAGGCAAATCTGGACACACATGCACGAACAAAATCCAAGATAGTTAGCTCTTCTTCGTGTTTTTTCTCTAATCGAGATCGAGAAAGATGGTTGTCACTCACCAGTGCTATTCGAAGAATGACGATCCAAACAAGGAACCCAGCCCTCTCCCTCCTTTGGAAACTGCCACACAGCCTTAATCTGGAAGAATTCGCGAAGAACCAAAAAAAAAAAAACACAAAGGGAGAGGAGATTTTTCTTAGTCACACCACACAAAAGCAAACAAATCTCATCGATCATACCCCGGTGTTGTTGGAAGCCCGCATTGCCGGCCACAAATTCGCGAACACCTCGGGGCTCCGGTACCTGGAGCCGGGAGGATCCGGCTTCCTCACCCGCGGCAAATCCAGCGTCATGGTGCTCATGTAGAGCAGCATTCCCGAGATGTAGATAATGGGCGCAATCAGCAAGAGCTTGTGCTGCCGGAGGAGAATCGAGAGGACGAGGCAAGAGAGGCGCTGCATGAGCGTTCTTGAGGAGGAAGAAGGGGAGCGCTTGCTGCCACTGCCGCTGCCGCTGCTCCGCCCATTCGTGCTGGCGCTGGGCGAGGACGAGAGAGGAGGAGGAAAAGAATTCTGCTGCGGCTGCTCCTGCTGCTGCATGGATCGGCTAGGCGGCACCATCAAACCCGATCCATCACTCGATTCGCCTCGCCGCCCGCCCAGCAGCAAGCGACAGATCGATCGGGACGATATTAATGCCCAGCTCCATCCAAATTCGTATCCCAGGAACCCTAAAAAAGGGCTCGCCCACAAATAAACCCTAGTGGATGAGAGAGAGAGAAGAAGAACGTTGGCCCCTTTGAGTCCTCGATCTAGGCGGCGGTGGCGGTAGCGGTGGAAGAAGAAGAAGCGGCGGAGCTCTCGTCCTTGGCGGCGCCGGATCTATCCTCGCCGCCCTCCTGCTGCTCGGGGTCGCCGTAGAAGAGATTGAGCGGGAAGAGATCCTTGGAGAGGGAGATTGGGCGCTTGAGATAGACGTAGCACTTCTTGTACGAGGCGGTGCGATAGAAGTACTTCTTCCGGGGATTGAATTTCTTCTTGGCGTCCATGTTCATCGTGTGGACCTTCTCCACGTCCAGGCCATAGACGAGCTGGAGGACCCTCTTGATCTCTAGCTGCATTGGACGAGAGAGAGAGAGAGAGATCGATCGATGAGTCTCAAAGAAGAGATTTCTAGCGCTCACCTTGCCGGCCCTGGGATACGTCCGGAAGCACAGCTCCTTGAGATCGTTGGGGCGGGGCGGGAGCTGCAATCGCAGCGGGATGTTGGCGAGGTAGATGACCCGGCCCAGATTCTTGCACGTCGTCTTGATCGGCCCGCGGTGGCTCCACTGCCCGAATGGCGCGCCCTCCAGCGCTCCCTGCTGCGACGCCTCCAGCGCCGGGCCTGCCCTCCTCTCCCACGCCCTGGATCTTCCAGCCGCCGCCGCCGTCGCGGCTCTAGCCCCCGGCCCAAATCTCCTCGCTCTCGACGCTGCTTGCGGCGATGCCGATGATGCTGGCGCTTCAGGATCGCGCCGCGCTCCAAACCTGGCCACCGCCGCTGCCATGCGCGTCCCGAATCTCCGAGCGATCGGCATTGCCTCAGGGGATTTTCTCTAGAACCCTAAAATGACATAACGGGCCACTAGAACCCTAAAACTTCGATGAAGCAGCGGCCATGGCGGATGGCGCTGGCGAGGGCGCTCCACTGGGAGAAGGATCAGCAGCCGGTGAAGCAGGCCGAGCGCAAGCTCGTGGATCGCTACATTCTCCGAGTCAAGGGCGGGCATGGCGGCGGCGGATGCAACAGCTTTGCCAAGAGCTTGAGCTCTCGGCACGGCCGTGTCAATGGTAAGCGCTCTCTTCTTCTTTTCTCTTGCATCGCAGAGGCTCCAAATATGATGATCTAGGTGGAAATGGCGGCATTGGAGGGAAGGTGATTCTCAAGAGCACGCCAGAAGTTTACGACTTCAAGAATCTACAGCACGCTGCGGTGATCTTCTTTTTTCTTTGTTTGTTCTTGCCTTCGATCGAGCCTTTATTCTGATCGATCTTTCATTCTTTGTTTTTCTAGACAGGCTGGTGGAAACGGGGGCTCGGGGCTTGACAGGAAGCAAACTGGGAAGAGAGGCTTGGATGAAGTAAGTCTTTGTTCTTGCCTCTCTAAGTTCTAGCGAGAATGATCGAATGAAATCTCTCTCAGGTTCTCTACGTCCCTCTGGGAACAGTCGTCCATCTTTCCGAGGGAACTCTCCCGGACATGACCCAAGACTTCCGGCAACGAGTAGCTCGGAGAACAGTGAAGCAAACTTGGGACGGTGACAAAGACTGGGTGAGGCTGAGCCAGATGTTCTCCAAGGACATATACTCGCACAGGCCCGATCATCCTCCACCACCCCAAGAAACCTCAGAAGAACCGGAAGAGACTAGCGACGACAGTGATCTAGACGAAGACGAAGACGAAGAAGAAGATGACGATGACGACGGTGCCTCTTCCTCGTCGTCCGAGGACGCACCGCGCGTCCTCAAGATCCCGAGACCGATCATCCGGAGCAACGTAGCCGAGCTGCTGGAGCCCAACCAGACGCTGGTGGTAGCCGTGGGTGGCGCCGGGGGTCGAGGCAACGCGGCACTCCCCCGCTCGCTCCCGAAGAAGAGCAAGTGGCCGAACGGACTCCCGCGCCTGGAGAACGAGCCCGGCGAGCCCGGCAGCGAGGCGGTGCTCATCCTGGAGCTCAAGAGCATCGCCGACGTTGGTCTCGTGGGGGCTCCAAACGCCGGCAAGAGCACGCTCCTGGGCTCCATGTCCAAAGCGAAGCCGTGCGTGGGGAGCTACCCCTTCACCACGCTCAGGCCGATCATCGGGAGGGTGGAGTTCCCGGACTACTACTGCTTCAGCGTCGCCGACGTCCCGGGGCTCATCGAGGGCGCTCACGAGAACCGGGGACTGGGCTTCCACTTCCTCCGGCACGTCGAGCGCACGAAGGTGTTCGTCTACGTGCTGGATGCGTCGCTCGGGGTGGCGGGCAGGGAGGGGGACTACGCGTGGGATCAGCTGGAGCAGCTCAAGTATGAGATGGAGTGCTACCGGAGCGGGATGACCAAGCGGCGGTCGATCGTGGTGGCGAACAAGATGGACGAGGAGGGGGCCGAGGAGGTGGTGAGGGAGCTGAGGAGGAGGACGGACCTTCCCGTGTATCCGGTGTGCGCTGTTCTTGGCGAGGGTGTTGAGGAGCTCAAGGAAGGGATGCGGCAGATGGTGGAGTGCGATGATGGGGATGCGCCGGACTTGCAGGAGCTCAAGATTTGAAGGTGGTTATCTTTTGAGTTAGAGTTCCAATGTTGGCATCTCACTACTCGGATCATCTTAGTCCTACAAGATAGCTTTTGCTCAAGATGCCGCAGTACAGTACCTTTTTGTGGGTGGTGATGCTCCATCTCTTGTGAATTGCCCAAGAAAAAACCAGCTTATTGAAGATATGTTGGAGCGCAATCTGTGATTGTGAAACAAGAGGACTAAGATGTTTGCCACCAAAGGGCATTTGCTAGAAAGAATGCGTCAGTGGAACGATTGGGTTTGGTGCTACTCCCCGTCCAAACAGCAACGATTTCTTGTGAAGATAGCTTTGAAGTATGCGGGAGTTTAAAATCCCAGCACAGTAGCTAGTCCAAGATTGGAATAAAGCGAAGAAAGAAGGGTGGCTCCTTCGTGTTTGGGAGATCTTGCAGTGGAGCATCTATCACATTGGTGGTGGTCACCAGCAAGATAGCGCACTTTGGACGAAGAACGTAGGAATTTTTTGCTTGGTCTCTCCGTGTGGGGTTGGAGGACTGTAGCTAAAGCTTCACGACGCAAGGCCTTTCACTCAAAGCAATCAGTGTTGTGGGCTGTGGAGGCAACTTTCTTGTTCGCCGCTAGTACACGCCTTTGAAGATGGGGAGCAGCGGTATAAAGCTGGCAATCGCGAAGAACGCAGCAGCATCTTTGCGACATGGAGCTCACGGTTTTGGCGTTGCTCATAGTCGCGGCGGCTTACAATCTTGCAGAAGGTGCGACGAGGATTGGATTCTACGACGGCTCGTGCCCTCGAGTGGAAGCCATCGTTAAGTCCACAGTGAGATCACACATGAGCTCCAATCCTATGATTGGAGCCGGCGTTCTTCGCTTGCATTTCCACGACTGCTTTGTCCGAGTGGGTTTGAAGCTCGTTTGAAGCTTTGATTTGATCCTGAGCTTCCGTCCGCTCGTTTCTACAGGGCTGTGATGGCTCCATTCTCATCGACGGCCCGAGCGCGGAGAAAGCGGCGCTGGCCAACCTCGGCCTCCGGGGCTTCGAAGTTATAGACGATGCGAAGCGGCAGATCGAGGCAGCGTGTCCGGGAGTTGTCTCGTGCGCCGACATTCTTGCGCTCGCTGCCAGGGACGCGGTCTCAGAGGTATCAAATCACAAACTTTCGATCGTCAGCTATTATAACAATCGTGGCTTGATCAATGACCTTAGAGTGGAGGACAGTTCTGGCCAGTTCCTCTGGGCCGACGGGACGGAAGAGTGTCCTCTGCCTCGGATGCATCAAACATGCCCTCGCCACTCGACTCGGTCGCGGTGCTCAAGCAAAAGTTCTCGGCCAAAGGACTCACAACTCTGGATCTCGCAACTCTCAGTGGTACGTGAAGTCACTCGAGCTTTCTCGATCAATCGACAAATCTGCCATACAGGTGCTCACACGATCGGCCAGACCGACTGCCGCTTTTTCAGCTACCGCCTCTACAACTTCTCGTCCACCGGCAAGCCGGATCCATCCATGAGCCAGAGCACTCTCGCTATGCTCCAGCAGCAGTGTCCCAGGGGTGACGCGGGGCTCAACAAGGTGGCGCTCGACACGGGCAGCCAGGGCTCGTTCGACAGCAGCTACTTCCAGAACTTGCGGAATGGTGGCGGGGTGCTGGAGTCGGACCAGCGCCTCATGGACGACACGGGGGCGCGCATCACGGTGACGGCGTTTGGGGTGGCCGGGGTGACGTTCCGGGCGGGGTTCGTGGCGTCCATGCTCCGGATGAGCGACATACAGGTGCTCACTGGGAGCGATGGAGAGATTAGAAGAGCTTGCAATGCAGTGAATTGAATGGAAAAATCTGGCAAAAGTTTGTGAAGTTCACAAAAACAAAACCTTTGGGAGGGTCTGTTCTTGGGCATGTCTAGCTTATTATATTCCTCCTTTCCTTGCAATCGGCCGAAGAGTTTTTGGGGGAGCTCAAGGCGTTTCAAGCAGCTCAATTACAGAAAGCTCAAAAGCAATGAGACATGGCTGGAGCTCATCTACCCGGACATGTACAACAGACAGTGTTTACTGGTGATTGTCGACATTTCATTTCTCACAAATCTTCATAAGAATTTATAACATACAAGAAAATATAATGCCTTCAAACATTCTTCTTTTTAAATAAATACATTTGCTTAAAAGTAGTGTTATTTTTACTTATTAATCCAATTGATCAAATAAAGTTTATAATTATAAGCATGTTTGTAATTTATAAACACAAGATTAATCTTATTGCATGGTTTAAGAAAGTTTATAAATTATAAATACGAAATTAATCTAAATAAATTATAACCGTTAGATGGTAGAATATTCTAAAATATTTAAACATATTTTTGTATTCACAGGTTTGCTTAAGCAAACCAAAAAATAAAGCATAAAATATCGTTGACATAACCCCACCCTTTCTCTTCGTCGAGAAAGTGTCCATTTTACTATAAATCCACACGAAAAAGAATTGATGGTAGGAATGGACCTTGAAGATTATTCCCCTTTGAGAAAAGTAACAAATATATTACTGCACCCAGCTTCCTTTCTTCATACGTGCCTTTACTACTCCAAAGCCTGCTTGGGCAACCCCATCCACAAACGTATTGAACTTCACAGCACGAAGTTCACCTCTATGGTTGCAAGTCACAGGCATTCTTCCGTTGTTCTCGATCCATTTGAGTGCCACTCGAACCCTACGCTGCTCATCGTCACTGACGCAGCGTCCATAATGCAAGTGGCCATTGTCAATGAAGTTGTAAAACGCGCCATGATTTTGAACAAAAACCGTTTTGATAGTGGCCTCACCTATTCGGTGCTCCACGTAATCCCAGCCATTAGAAATCCCAAACTTTTCTTCAAACTGCCCTTCATGGGCTCCGTTGAGGGAATCAATATCAGCTGAGCTGAGCTTCATGAAGGGATTAAGCTCCCGAGCCTCGGGCTCCTCGAGAGCAGTCAAGTCGGGGTAAAAGTAGTCGGCACAGCATGTCCCAAACACCAAGACGCCCTCACCTTTGCGCACGTAGTAGAAGTTCCTCACAACCTGGTCACAAAGCCTGAGGCGTGGACTAATGGTGCACAAGAAAGTGGTGACGAAATCCCTGTGCGTGAACTTGGCAATTCTGCTGATCCAGAGCCTCGCGCACCCCACCATCACGTCCTTCATCGCCATCCACATCCGGTTCGCTGGATAGCTCAGCAGATCTAGGGCTATAATCCCAACCGAAGCAAACCGCGAAGCAACACCATAGCCGTTGGCGTCAAGCATCAGCGGCAGGAGGGATAGCAGCCTCGTGAAATCCTTGTTGAGGAAGTGCTCCCGACTGCTCATCAAGAGGACGCGCTTGGTGAACGTCTCAATGGTTGCTCCCTCTGCCATGAAGCTGTCGAATCCCTCGCCCCAGGCGAAGGCGTCTGCAATGCACAGCTGCGGGAGGAGGTGATCCACTTTGCTGCAGATGAATTGGGTCCCGTGCCTTTTGAGAATGTAGCTGCTGGAGATGGCGCTGTAACCAACGATGTATGCGGTACCCTGCCTGCGCTGGAGGAAATGGGCGCTGTTGCCCAGCCGGGTGTCGCTTGAATCCAGCTGATGCTCCACTGTCATGGGATACGTCCACTTCTGGCCCTGCACGACCAATCCGAATGTTGCAGTGGAAAACGGAGGACCGAATATGGGATCTGTTAGCCACTTGAAGGTGTGGTAAATTAGAGCGGATGGGATCCTGAAAAACTTGGCCTCTCTGAGAAATTGCCACACTGCATAGGAGAACTGGAGCCATAACCACACTGAAGCCATGTCTGTGATCCAAGAAACTTGTACATTAAACTTTCCTAAGAGAAGATTATAAGTCAACTCTTACCCAGCTATCCGGGTTCAAATCCTGGCAATGGATGCAAGATTTTCCTTTCAGAGCAATTCTTTTCCATCTGATTCAATTCACTGAAGTTTCAATTAGTGTTCATGGAGTGGAACACCAAAACTCGTGCATGAGTGCTGTGTGGATGTAAGAGCAACCTCAACAGCTTTGCAGCATGTCCAGGAGAGAGGATTTTTAACCTAATTTTCAGTACTGATTTCCTTTGGAATTATTCAGAGATGAAGTAGCCCATTATGAAGCATGAAACCAAAACATTTGGAAGTGCTTTGTTACAATGTTCGCACCTATGGTGAGAATATATAAAGATAGAGTAATGCACCATCTTTGTTAAAATGCAGAGAAACAGTCTGCTTTCGTTTGTATGATGAAGACGTATCTCATTATGCCTTGCTTAGTTATTTAACTATTACTTATTGGAGTTTTCCACCACATAAGCGCTGAGATTTTCCATGATGTATAGTGGATTGATATTGGAGTTAAAGGGGATGCCAGGTGACTTATAAATGTCTGGAAGTTAAACGTTTCAACTGACCCGTTTTGAAATACGGACAAGGAGTTGCTGGAACTTCGGCATTCCATCCGACCCATCTTGAAACAGACTTTTTTATGGACTCTAGCTTTTAGAAAAGAATCAACGTGAATCCCCCACCAGATACAACAGTTTAGAAATCCTTTTTCACCAGCATCACCATCGGGTTTGCTTTCAGGGCCACCTCGCACAAAGCTGGGATCTTGGATCAATGCAGGACCAAACAATGTTCTTCACATAAACTGTGCTTATAAGTTTTCCTTATCTAGAACGGGCCATGGCCAAGCTTCTTCTGAAGTTCTCAAGAATGGACATTGCATAGCTTCAGGCCATAACCAAGGAAATATCGAGGCTTCCCTGGAATTTTCCAAAAGCTTTTACAAGATTTTTTTTTTACTATTAATGCACGTCAACACTTTAAATAAAAGAAAAAAATACTCTGAGTGCATGGAATATTTGGACCTCACATGTATAGAAATAATTTTTTAAAAGAAAAGTCAATGAGCTCTCAAGAAATAAAATACATATCTAGAAGTGAAAGAAATGATTGTACTTAACTTACTAAAAGAACATAATAATAAAAAAGATATAGATAAAATACATTAACATAACAAATCCGGTTTTGTGTTTGTTTCTCGCTCTGCAGGAGGATGAAGCTGTCGCTTACTTGAAGCATACATCAGGCAAAACCGAAGAGGGGTGTCGATTACGTGCAAGGAGGATCCAGCATTATACTGGCTGGGTGCCGGGGCTGCTTTCGCAATACCTGACGGAAAAATGCGTAGTCGAGCAGACTAGGAGATTGCTGCTAAAAGGTGTTTCGGATGCTTTGCATTCGGACGAGGTGGCCGAGGTTCTCACAGCTGTCGCAGAAGGGCGTTTGAAATACGAGTTGTCAGACGCTTTGGATTCGGGTGCTACTTCCGAGGGCAAGATGGCAAGGGCCGCTGCTTGGCACCATCGCTGCTGCATGGCAGCACCATCGCCTACGTAACACAGTGTGCGAGGGAGAAGCTGCTAAGTGCATATTACTTCACTGAGCCATTTGGCTGGAACGACTAGCGTATTGGGCTAAGGATGGACGTGATCATGGAGGTCATTATACTGGACGAGAAAGAGCTCCACGAAGAAGAAGCTGCGAGAGGGGGCACAGAAGAAGATCCTGTACGTCCCAGGCAACCTTAGCCAATGGCTTATTAACAGTGCCATTACTGTCGCTGCCAGTCCAAAGAGATGCCATCCCAAGACCGAGGAGGTGGGCGAGCGGCTGTTTGACGGAGAAGGGCGGTAAGGGTGCACGGCCTCACTTGAGAGTATTGTCGAAAGACCAGACGGTTCACGTCTCGTTTGGAGAGCTGCAATGCACTATTCCATAGATGAGAAGTGTGTGTGTGGGGGGAGGATAAGGATCACAAGTGTCGGATGTGAGCAGGGATTTTGCCCTGGAAGCGTAACGTGATTTCTGTAGCCAGGCCTATCACAAGAACTGTGTTGGGGTGCAGGAGGAGCCATGGTTTTGTCTAGATTGCAGGATGGAGATGGGGAATTGATGATGAAGAAGATCGAGTGATGATGAAGACAGTAAGATCGACAATGATGTTTAAGTGTATCGAGACTTGAAAAATTTCTATATATCGTGAGCTCCGAGTATCTTGTTCTGGAAAATAAAAAGGATCAACCATCGCCCTTCTACGTTAATTTGTCATCCATTCTTCACGTCGGAGATGCCTAAAAGGATGTTGAGAGCAGCTCCACCTGATAATTCCTCCTTTGGTTTGAAGGAATGAACATAGGCATCCAGCCTCAGGTGCTCTGAAGGTGATCAATAAAGCCATCACCAAGTATTTCTTTTGGGAACGAGAAGAGCTGGTCATGAGCTCCCTGCAGCTCCCCTGCCGGGGTGGACTTCGACAGTCGAAGTCGAGCTCGATGTACAACACACAAACACAAGTCCAAGAATATTTGCTACCTTGTGTATAGTTGATACACGCAGGAACATAGTGTTGCTTGCATTGCGTTGCATATATACTTTACCCTTATTGTGTGACCACCACCATCTAGAAGCTATTCCAATTTCTCTAGTTCCTCTCCCATTCAAAAGGAAAGCTCTAAAACGCGAAGACGGTCCCCGCCTTTGCAAGAGTTGCCCCCTCTTGGGCTCGGCTCTACCATCTTTCTCACTTGAGACCGCCAATTATCTTCATCGCTTCTTCTACGTGCCCAGGCAAGCAGTGCATCAGCGCGTCGTCTCCTTGCTTCATCTTGTTGGAGAGATCCGTGGCGTCGGACGCGTAGCCGTGCTCGGAGTAGGCCCCGATCATCGTCTGCCAGGAGCAATCGTCCCACAGCGGCATCCTGTCAAACACCTCCCTCCCTTCCAGCAGATACCCTTTCCTGGCAAAGATCTTCACCACCGTGTTCCACGACACCAGGTCGCGCCCCGGCATCTCCTCGAAGATCGCTTGCGCCCCCGCGACGCGGCCGTGATGGACGTAGCCCGAGAGCAGCGCCGTCCAGGAGAAGACGCTGTGCTGCGGCATCCTAGAGAGGAGATCTCTGGCGCGATCAAAATGCCCGTACCGGGCATACGCCGAGACGAAGCTCGTCCATGGCTTGACGTCCAGGCCCCGGGCTCTCGCGAAGACGCCCATCGCCTCGTGGAAGTGGCCCTTGTCCAGATACGCGGCCAGGAGGGCATTGGAGGCGAGGCTGCCATGGGAATCAAGCACCGCCCGCGCATCCTCGAGGCTCCCACACCGGATGTACATCTCCAGCACCTGGGCCTGGAGATCAGGGAAATGCGGCCCCCCCCTGCCGACGCGATCCTGGAGCTCGCGCGCCTCGGCGAGATTCGTGACGCTCGCCAGAGATTTCTGGAGAGATTTCAATGCCGCCGCCGAGGATTCCGCTAGAGAAGAAGAGGAGGAAGGATCACTCGCAGCTACGGCATGGAGAGCCCGGCATAACCTCATTCGTGTTAGAACCCTAGATTCGAGGAATATACATGGTTTTCACTTTCTTTTCTTCACCATTTTGGTTTAGAACCCTAAGTAGATTCCAATCCATCAACTTTTTCGGCACTGTTTTTTACTTTTTCTCGACTTTTTTTCACTTTTTCTGCGTTACATAACGACACATACACCTCCCCCTTTTCTCTCTAAAACGACGATGAAATTTCTTCTTCTGGGACGAGAAAAGATGAAATTTCTTCCAAGCAATCAAATAGCTCAAATCTCTCTTCCTCTTTCCTATCGCCAAACCATTGCAAATCTTTAATCAAAAGCGTCGTCCTCGTCGTCTGGGAGTGGCTGAGCAGCAGCATTATTCATCTCCTGCTCGTTCCTGTGAAAGAAAAATGGATCCAAGAACGTCAATCGGGACAGAATCTAGAAACAAGGGAACTTACAGTTGCTGGGCAGCAAGATCGATGTGAACTTCCGGTGGTGCCAACGCAGGAGTCTCGACAAAGTGGAGATTCGCGTCCCTGGATTGGGCAAAAAGAAGAGAATTAGAACTTGAGGTGAACTTGGGGGTATCTAGAGTTCTACCCAGCAAGCTTCCTGGCGAGATAAAGGAAGGGTTTTTCGAAGTTGTAGTTGCTCTTGGCAGAGATCTCGTAGTACTGGAGGTTCTTCTTTCTGTGGAAGGTGACCTGCTTGGCCTTGACCTGCCTGTTCTTAACGTCGACCTTGTTTCCGCAGAGAACAATCGGGATGTTCTCACACACCCTGCGAGATGAGAATGCGTTAGAAAAAACAAAGCCATCGGAAGGGAAAGAGCGAAACTAGCCTGCAAAGATCCCGGTGCCAAGTTGGAACGTTCTTGTATGTCAAGCGAGCAGTGACATCGAACATGATAATCGCGCACTGGCCATGGATGCTGCAAAAGGAAGTTAAAGCAACGAATCATTAAGGAGTGAAGAGCTTACTAGTAGCCATCGCGAAGACCACCGAACTTCTCCTGGCCGGCCGTGTCCCAGCAGTAGAAGCGTAGCCTGCCGCAGTTCGTGAAGAAATCGAGAGGATGGACTTCCACACCCATCGTAGCTGCAAGGAAGAACAGGCATAAGAGATCATCCCAAGAAGAGAGAACCGAGCTTACGTTCGTATTTCTTCTCGAATTCACCAGTCAAGTGGCGTTTCACAAAGGTCGTCTTCCCTGCCACCGAGAGATCCATAAGAAACCAAGCCAAAAGAGGAAACAAACGAAGCGCTCACCAGTGCCGCCATCACCAACGATTACGAGCTTGAAGGAAACCTCTCCAGGGGTTGCCTGACCGGGCATGGCCTGTCGCAAGCAGAGGAACGAAAATCACCAAACAATTCGCGAGGAAACGGAGCTTACCATCGTCTCCGAGCGATTCGATACGAAGGCGCAGAGATCCGAAGCGCCTAGCACGCCGCCCTCACCGAGCACAACACAAACAAAACCCTAGTCTCTTAGGGCTCTTAACCAGAAACTTTTGTCGGTGGATCTTTGCCCACGTGGCAAGTATCGACGGTAGTGGCCACGCTAAAAGCTGAAGTGGTCCAGTCTAAACCCTAAACCACTAAGAGCCCTAATTTCTTTGCTTGAGCGCCAAGCATCCTATCCGCCCCGCTCGTCGCCGGCGCGCACAAATCTTCACGCGACGCGACGCGACGCTCTCCGGATTTCCATCGCGGCGCAGCCGTAGCCGAGGTACATTTCCTGGTTGTAGGTTAACAAAGATTGAGCCGCGCGTGATATTTCCCCAGCGCTCTCCTCATGGATCGCTATCAGCGAGTGGAGAAGCCACGAGATGAGACATCGATCAGCGAGAATGAAATTCGCATCACGACGCAGGGCAAGACGAGAAACTATATCACCTACGCTATCAGCTTGCTCCAGGTAGAAAATTTTCTTCCTCTCTCTTTCCGGAATTCACTTCTCTTTTCACAGGACAAAAGCTCTGACGTTGTCTTGAAGGCGATGGGCCGTGCAATCAACAAGACTGTCACCATTGCCGAGATTATCAAAGTAGAGAACGAGGTTTATGCGAGCTCGAGGTCACTAACAGTCTTTTTCTCGTCCAGAGGAGGGTCGCGGGGCTTCATCAAATCACCACAATCGGCTCCGCGGACTTCACGGATACTTGGGAGCCGCTCGAGGAAGGACTTGTGCCGTAAGTTGTTGTCTTTGTTTCCAGCTACCTCATGTGACTTACTTTGCTTTCTCATCTTCTAGTCTGGAAACGACTCGGCATGTTTCTATGATCAGTATCACACTGTCAAAGACGGAGCTAGACAGCACCTCATCAGGGTGGGCTTTTCTCAATGTTTCATAATCGTTTCTTGACTTGAGAGAACTGTCACAGATATCAGGCTCCTCTTCCTGCTGATCAAGTGAAGCCGTTGGTGGAGCCGGAATACGACGGAGGTTTAGTTATCTCTGTTTGTTTTTTCTTCGCCTGACGGCCGTGCACTTCACAGAAGTATCACCTCGAGGAGGCAGAGGCCGAGGCCGGGGGCGCGGACGAGGCAGAGCTCGTGCTGGAGGTACATGTAGTCTCGAACGCCATTACGTTTGCTGTAATGCATGTAATCTCCAGGGAACGAAGTTGCGGTCGCTGACTACGGTGGTGGCTACGATGCTGGTTGGGGGCGAGGCCGAGGTGGCCGAGGCCGTGGAAGGGGCCGCGGGTTCCAAGGCCGTGGTAGAGGCTATGCCACGGAGTTTTATCAGAACACCGGGAGGGGAAGAGGAGGCTACGGAGACAACGTTTACGAGGACAACCGGGGCCGCGGTCGAGGCGGATACCAACAAGGCCGGGGCCGTGGTGGAGACGAGTACCAGGAAGTGGCGAACGAGGACGCCGGAGCAAGGGGCCGAGGTATGCTTTTCGTTTGAGAGAAACGACTGGCTAAGTTGACAACTATGTCTATCACAGGCCGTGGTCGAGGAAGGGCATTTCGTGGCGGCCGTCGGGGAGGCGGCAGACCCCGCGGAGGATTTCAGGAATAAGACGAGATCTCTCTCTCCATACTTCGTGGTAAAGCCTCTCTCCTCTAGCGGCATCTTTTGTGTTGACATATAGACTAGCTGTGGTGGTAGTCACCCGAGTTTTCTTGCCTCTGACACGTTACAATTTGGAGGTGTTATATTCCTTTCTTGTTTCTAACTGTACAAAACAAAAGCTTTTTTTACTGGGAAGTTTCAGATCACGTAGTCCAGGATCTCGGAGGTGTGATCCATGCTTTGTCCCGGGAAGTCGCACGGCGGTGGTGGAGTGACTGCCGCTGCGGTGTTGCGAATGATCCTGGCGGGGACTCCGACCGCGGTGCAGTAGCAGGGAACGTCGATGAGGACGAGCGTGCAAGCGCCGATCTTGGCACCGTCCCCGACTTTGATTGGGCCGAGTAACGTTGCTCCAGCTCCGATGAGGACTCCGTTTCCAACTTTTGGATGCCGGTCCATGCAGCGGTTGCCAGTCCCGCCAAGCGTGACGTGGTGGAGAATGGAGACGTTGTCGCCGATGGTAGCGGTCTCTCCCACCACTACGCCCGTGGCGTGGTCGAGAAACATGCCTTTGCCAACTTGAGCTCCTGGAACTTTGGAAGATCATTGCAAGAAGAGACGAGGAGGTTGGAGGACGTACCGGGATGGATGTCAACTTGGAAAACTTCGGAGATCCTGTTCTGGAGTGCCAGTGCCAGTCCCGTGCGATCTTGACGCCAGAGCCTGTGAGAGACGCGGTGCGCTTGGCAGGCCAGGAACCCCTTGTAGTTGAGCATGCCATGGACGTAGCTTGTGCACGCTGGATCCCTCTCTCTGAAAGCCTTCATGTCCTCTCGCATTGCTTCCTAGGTGCCAAAGTTCTCCACCCATGAGATGAGATGATCTTGGAAGTTTAGAACTTACTTGTATGCTTGTATCAGCCGAGAAAGTCTCCGAGAACAAGGAGAAGAGCTGGGTGGAAAGGAGCGTCATGTTTGCTAGCTTGTTGGCGAGGTGGAATGCCAAGGATCTCTCCAGCGAGGGATGCGAAAGAACCGTGGCGTAGAGAAAGCTCGCGAGGTATGGCTCCGCCTGGGATTGCTCCATTGCTTCTATTCTCAACAATTGCCAAATATCCATGTCCTTCTTTGCTAAATCGTCCTGGAAAAAAGATCAACACCATGAGAAAGGAAAAACTTCAGTCGCTAAAAAGAGAGGACTATTTACTTGCACACCTGCGCAGCACAGGAATTGGCGGCGATCGGCGGCGCCGTGGCTCCTCGGCCGCATTGAGCAGTGATCTAATCCGGATCGACTCCATTCGATGTGGTTGCGATCGCCGAGTCGGGGCGGAGAGATTGAGAAGCGGAGCGAAGAAGACGCCATAGATAGAATTAGCTACAGGGAATTAGGGTTAGGGCTCTTTGGCGCCCAGGAATTTCAATCTTCGTGCCCGCGATCGCGGCATTTTGTCTTCCATTCGCGCCTAGGGTCGGAGCTCGTGATGGATTCTGGAAGCTGATCGGGTTTTTTCATCCAAAGGGGGATTCTAGACCGCAGGAGATGGAAATCTTGCATTCCGGGATGAAAGATCGCGGGCAGAGGTAGCAGAAATTCGTGGCGATGGCGGTCGGACCGTCATGGGAGGGGCATCACATCTGGGAAGGTTGGGTCACGCTAACGCTCATCGGCCTCATGTTGGCAGCTCTAGTGCTAGAAATCGCCCCTCCATACCTCGTCATGACTGGCACCCTCATTCTCTTTTTGCCGCTCAACATCCTCACCTTGGATCAAGCTCTTCACGGGTTTGGCGATCACGCGGTGCTCTCGATTGGCGTTCTCTTCATCGTTGCCAAAGGTAGCTCTAAGTTTGTGATTGATTGATCGCCCACATTTTTTTCTTCTTTGGTGATTCAGGTATCGAGCAGTCTGGAGGTCTGGAGTACGTCTCTAGGCTGCTCTTCAGAGCCGACGATGATAAGAAGGAAGACAATCCAGCGAAACAAGGGAACATCGTCGGAGTGATGCTGAAGTTCACGGTTCCTGTGGCGATTTTTAGTGCGTTCCTGGCCAATATACCACTGGTGGCGATGATGATTCCGCCGATTGTGGAGTTCGCGAAGAAGGTACGCGGCTCTCGTTACCTTTCTCATGCCAGTGTTCCATGGATTCGGTCCGGTCGTGAAAATGCTTTGTTTGCTTGACTTCATTCATGTAGGTGCATATGGCTCCGTCAAAGCTGCTCATGCCTCTGAGCTTCGCTGCGCTCTTGGGTGGCACGCTGACATTGATTGGAGCCAGTACAAACCTGGTAGTTGTCTCCCTGGCCGCGAAGAAACTCCCCGAGCTTCAAATGAATCTGTTTGAGATAGCTATTGTTGGTTTGCCTGTGACAATTGCTGGGATTTTGTATATGGTTGCTGTGTCCGGCAAGCTTCTTCCAGATCGTCTTGCAATTCAACCAACGACTATAAACGTGAGGTGAAGATTTGTCACCAGGAATCCAACATTAAGATGCACATCATATAATTTCGCGGCACTTGACGAACTCACTGAATTTTTTGTACTGCAGGGAATATAGCGTTGTATTAGAGGTGAAGGCAACGTCTTCATTGACAAGGAAAACGATTGAGAGGGCTGGTATCAATCGTCAACCAGGGCTCAACCTCGTTCAAATACAGAGAGAAGGTGTAGTCACTCCAAATCCTGGGCCAGACTTTGTTATAATGCCCAAAGACAAGCTACACTTTGGTGGTGTTATAGATGCAGTACTTGGTTTGACACAGTTAGATGGATTGGCTCTTTCAGAGAGTGAGGTACGCTCAAGATTAACAATTTTCTTTTAGACTCGCTCATTTGTTGTGCGCAGGGTGAAGAGCAAATCGATTTGAATCGGTTGAAGATCAATCAGTGCCTAGTTGAGGCTGTTGTTGCAAGTGGATCTCCGATGGTTCACAAGCGCGTTGCTGACTTGCAACTCCGAGCACGTTATAAAGCTGCTATAGTTGCTATCCATAGATATGGAGTGCGACTTAGCAGGTAAGCTATCTTCTTCGTACGTCGTTTGTTGCAACTGTGTTCTTTCTTTATAGTGCGATTGGGGACATAATCTTGGAAGCTGGAGATTCACTTCTTATGGTGGCTGATGGGACAGAGTTCGTTGCGAAGAATCGAAATAATTCTACGTTTGCGCTTGTTGCAAAGGTAGCATGCCTACTTTGCTTGTGAAATGTAGTGCCCTTCATAAAGTTCTGATTTTGTGCAGCTGCCAGGATTTGTGCCGGTGCAGCGACATAAAGCTGGAATTGCAGCGTTGATTGTTCTCGCTTTTGTGGTTGCAAGTGGCATTGGTGTTGATCTTATCACGGCTGCTTTGTTCACGGCATTCTTTTTGTTGGCGACGAAGTGTCTGACTCCTAGAGATGCAATGGTATAATATTTGCATTTCTGACAGCATCAGCATCTGACGTCGTTATTCTTCTCAAGCTTTACAGGAATCTATAGAATTACCGGTTCTGATTCTGATCGCTTCGTCCTTTGGCATCTCAGAGGCCATGGTCCAGAGTGGTGCAGCAGATATGGTGGCAAAAGCCCTCATGGGTCTTGCAGGTACCACAAAAGTAAGAACTATCACCCTTCAGAGAATAGGCCGTTGTTACTAACTAATCTTCGTTCGTGCCTTGCAGTTTGGTCTAATCAGTTGCACATACATTGCAACAACAGTTTTCTCGCTGGCTATCACGAATAACGCTGCTGTGACGATTATGTTCCCAGTTGCTCTCACAGCGGCTCAGAAAGGAAATCTCGATTTCAGACCGTTTGCCTACACGCTCATGATGGCATCATCGGCAGGGCTGATGACCCCCACTGGCTGTGCAACAAATCTCATGGTTTACTCCCCGGGTGGCTACAAGTTTGCGGACTACGTTGTTTATGGTGGTCCTATGCAAGTAAGTTCTTCCGTCAACTTAAACAGGAGTGTCATGTTTAATGCAGATATGGTTACTGGTTGTGACAATTGGAGTGACGGTGACTATAGAATGGTGGTGGGCATGGACCATAGCGATATTTATTACCACAGTCGCTACCACACCGATCTGGATGAGACAGGTTCTTCTTCCTCCATTTACGTTCCTCTCCACTGAAGTTTGTTTCGATGCAGCCTTGGAATCTGATAAAGTCTGGACCACTTTCCTCTGCCGAAGATCAGGAGGCCGCGGCAACGTCCAGGGGACGCCGGGGCGACGAAGAAAGAGTTTCTCTCACAGGCGGAAGCAGCAGTCGCGGTAGTACCAGTTCGGCTTTCATGCTGGCGTCGCAACAGTGAATTTGCATTTAGCTGTACATAGCTGAAGCTCATCAAGGTCCTGGAAAGCTTTTCTTTTTCACCAGAAGTCGCCACACGAGCAGCAGCCATCGCTAAAGACGTGGAACCGGCTCGCATCTCTACACACAATGCGCCTGTTTTCCACCTTCGACAAAACAGCAGTGGCTCTGTGACAGTCATCGCACACTCTCAAGTTCTTGGCAATCCGTATCACCGTACCGGGAGCTGTATTAACGAGTGCAAATGCAATGGCCAGCTTTTCGCTGTGGCCACAGAGAAGATTTTCCTTTTCAACGTCAGAGACATGGTGGACGAGACAGTTCTGGTCGGGAACATATCCTCCGGCCTTCATCTTCACTAGCACTTCCTCGAGCTTCTCCACGACGCCTTTGTGACGGCTCCAGTCTCCAGCTTTGAAACTGTGAACGTTCCCGGCCTCGTCGGTCCACCAGCTCAAGCCGGGTTTCTTCCACGCCCGGAAGTTGTTCTTCATGATGAGCACCTGCGACTGCTCCTCCCACATCCCAGCTCTGCCGTAAATGTCCGCCATCGACATATAAACAGCAGCGTCCTGCTCGTCGATCCTCAGCAGCGATTCAAAGGCCAGTCGCCCGACTCCAACGTTGGTAAACTTCTTGGCCGCGGCAAGTATCGTCTTCCAAGTCACTTGGTCCGCTTCAAACGGCATCTCGTGGACCAACTTCACGGCACTGTCAAGGTGATTGGCTCGGCCAAGCATGTCGATCATGCAGTGGTAGTGCTTCATCTCGCGGCGGATTCCCAGCTTCAACGTCATGACCTCGAAGAAGTCCAGCCCGGATTCAACAAGCCCGGCGTGGCTGCAGGCAGTGAGAACGGACAGCAGAGTTACACCGTTGGGTTGAACGTCGGCTTCTCGCATGCTGTGGAACAGATCAAACACCTTGGTCGCGTCTCCGAGGTGACTATATCCTGCTATGAGCGAGCTCCAAGTTATCACCGTTCTCGCTCTCCCGGGCATCGAGTGAAAGACAAGCTCGGCTTCGGACATGCTGCCGCACTTCCCGTAGAAGTCCACCAGGCAGTTCGCAAGGAACATATCCTTATGGAGCTCCCTCCTGGACACAATCTCGGCGTGGAGCTTTCGACCGGTTTCTAGAGCTGCCAAGTTCCCGCAGACCATCAACGCGGCAGCGAAGGCTCGAGCATCCGGCTGCGTCGGTGCCATCCTTGAGAAGAGTCTCAGCGCTACTTCGGACTCCCCGTTCTCAGCGTAGCCGAGCATCAGCGAGGTCCAGGAGACCACGTTCCGCTGCTGGTGCTGGATGCTGTCAAACACCTTGCGGGCCTGGATCATGTTGCGGCACTTGGAGTACATCTCGACGAGCGAGTTGGCAACGAAGATGTTGGCGGCGACGCCGCTCTCCGCCGCCTGGGAGTGAAGAACCGATCCTTTCTCCTCCAGGCTCTGGATCAAAGCAGAAGAAGCGGCGTCCTCGCCTCTGGCCGCTGCCGCTGCCAAACTGGAACACGCCGTCAACGCAGCAACGAAAGTTCTGGCCTCGGGTGCTACTCCGATCATCCTGGAAAAGAGCTCCAGCGCGAGCTCGCCACTGCCGGTCTCGGTGTAGCCGAAGAGCAGCGAGTTCCACGACACGACGTCGTGCAGCGGCATCCTGTCGAAGACCATCCGAGCGTCGACCATGCTGCCACACTTGGCGTACATCGCCACCAAGCTATTCCCGAGAAAGGTGGTGCTGGAGTCGATCATACTGCTAGCAGCGCGAGCGTGGATTCGCATGCCAAGCTCCAGCGATCGCGGTTTCACCACCACCGTCTTGGGATCCTCGGTTCCCTGTCCATGCTCGGTGTCGGCCATGGTGGAACACGCAGTGATGGCTGCGACGTAAGTTCGCGAGTCGGGTTGTATGGACTCGTCGTGGAAGAAGAGCTCGAGAGCTTTGTGGCCGTCTCCGTTGTCAGCGTAGCCCAGGATCACGGCGTTGAGGAGCGCCAGATCGTGGCAAGGGAGCTTATCGAAGAGCGATCGAGCGTCGGCCATGGTGCCGCATCTAGCGTACATGTCGATCACGCTGCTGGCGGCGACAATGCCTGTGCCAGGAGGGAGAAGAGATTTGGAGGAGAGAAGATAATGGATCCTCTTACCGCAGTCTAGGTCTCGCAGCGCCTTGCAAGCTCTCAATGCCGCGATCCAGAGAGGAATGGGGGAAGAATCGTGGAGCAATGCCGCCGTGATCGTGCTCCTGACCGCGATCCAGATGGCCTGATCGAGTAGATTGCTTTGGCGAGTGACGAGGCATCGCGGGATGGCCATGGCGCGGCGACCGGGGAGGCATCGTCGATTGATGGATGAATGTAGTTACCCGGGCAAGCTGGAAATTTTAGGGTTCTTCGTTTGCCTTTGCAGGGCCATTTCCCTCTGCTAGGGTTTGGGGTTTTCTGGCAGTCGGAGCTCGAGCTGCTGCCGGTGGCGGATCTGTGGCGCCCGACGCTGCGAGCAGCGGAATGCGAAGGCGCCTAGCGTAGATCTGACTCACCGGCTCTAGATCTCGACGAAAAGCAAAATGGTTTGGATCTGTCTGGATCAGGGAGTTATTTTCTCACGAATTTCGTGCGCTGATTGATGCAGGTAGTTCTAGCGTCCTCCATTATCAACAAGAGCGGGAAAGGTGAGAAATTGAGGCTGCGATCCACTCGATCCTTGCGCTGATGCTGTCTCCTTTGTGATGTAATAGCGCTCGTTTCCCGGCAGTTTGTAGACATGACTAGAATACGAATCGAGGGCCTCCTCGCTGCGTTTCCCAAGCTCGTTGGCTCTGGCAAGCAGCACACATATGTGGAGACTGAAAACGTCCGGTATGTCTATCAGCCCATGGAATCCTTGTATTTGATCCTCGTCACCAACAAGCAAAGCAACATTCTAGAGGACCTAGAAACACTCCGGCTTCTCTCTAAACTGGTACTCTCTTTTTCTTTCCCTTAAGTGCTAAAGTTTACACCTTGATCTTCTCCCAGATTCCTGAGTACTGCACGTCTCTCGAAGAGGAGTCCGTTTGCAAGAATGGTTTTAAGCTTATCTTTGCGTTCGACGAGGTGATATGCCAGGGTCACAAGGAAGCCGTCTCGGCTTCTCAAGTAAAGGAATATATGGAAATGGATAGTCAGGAGGAAAGGATGCATAGGATGATGATGCAGACTAAGATCAACGAGACTAAAGATTTGATGAAGAAGAAAGCGAACGAGATTGACAAAAGCAAGGTAAATCTTGGAATTCTCTTGCATTCCGTTGCTGACGATTATTTCTTTTTTCAAGCTGGATAAAACAAGACCAGACAGAAGCGGAATCATATCTGTGCCTATCAGCTTCGACAATGGGTATGATCTTCCCTCGACTGGAAGAAGCAATGGAACTTTTGTGGCGGATGAAAGCAAGTCTAAAGGTATGCTTCTCGTACGTGCAAGCATGTCTAATTTGTAATGTCTGGAATTGCAGGCCGTCCTACAACAGCGGCAGCTGGTTCTAGCAAAAAGGGAATGCAGCTGGGCAAGGGACAGAAAACCAGCCGAATCATAGAGTGTCTGAAGGCCGAAGGAGAGGACATCGTCGAAGATGTTCAAGCTGCTGCCGTGGTAGGCTTGACAGCAAGTGTACCCACGGATCCCATCGCCGTTCTAGTCGAGGAGAAGATCACCGTCCAGTGTAAACGAGATGGTGGCTTGGAGTCGTTCGACATACAAGGCACATTGTCTCTTGTGGTCCAGAACAGAGACGACGCCTTCATTCGTGTCCAGGTACCATTTCTGGCCTTTTTCTTAATCTTATTCAACCGCTTTTTCGTACAGGTTGAAAACGGAGCCAACGATGGAGTTCAATTCAAACCTCATCCCAACATTGACAAAGATTTGTTTGCAAGAGAGAGCATTTTGGGCCTAAAAGATTCCCGTCGGCCATTTCCAACTGGAACTCCAACAGGGATTCTAAAGTGGCGCATGACAAGCAAAGACGAGTCTTTAATTCCTTTGAACAGTACGTTGGTTTCGCCAGCTTGTTTATGCCACTAACTAATGCTGTATGTTTCCAGTTAACTGCTGGCCTTCAATCTCCGGGGGCGAAACGTACGTGAGCATCGAGTATGAGGCGTCGCAGAGGTTCGAGCTTCAAAATGTGAAGATTACGATACCTCTACCCGCTCTCCGTGATCCTCCGACAGTCAATCAAGTGGACGGAGAATGGAGGTAATTCTCTGATGTGTTTCTTCCCGTTTTAACTCTTTTGACATGATCGTAGGTACGACTCAAGACGATCAGTTCTGGAGTGGTCCGTAGTCTTGATTGACAACAGCAATAGGAAGTAAGCTAGAGCTCGCTTTACAGTTTGGCAGCAACACTCACTTGCATTGATTTCTTTCAGTGGAGCGATGGAATTCGTGGTCCCGGCAGCCGACGCGTCGGTGTTCTTCCCGATTGACGTCAAGTTCACTGCCACAAAAACATTCTGTGATCTCAAGGTACAAAGCCTTGTCACTCGATTTAACAGCGATTCCAATGGTGAACTTTGCCGCCAGGTTGTGAGCGTTCTTCAGGTGGATGGAGGCAACAGCGTGAGATTCGCCGGAAGCACGCAACTCCTAGCGGATAGCTATCAAGTGGTATAGCACCGGAAGACGATCGAGAAGACGAGGTGTCAGGAGATTTTGATTGGAAAGAAAACTTAGTTACTCTATTCATATCAAATAGCGTGCTAAACTTTGGACTAAAGGATGAGCAAAAACAAGCATTGCATAAAACTCTCTCTCTCCTCTGTGCGGTGGTTCTCATTTAACCATGGGAGAACCATAGTTTAGCTACTTTAAAATGATACGAATATGCCTTTTTCGACTTTATAATACCCGGCATATTCTTCGAGGCTTGGCCACATTTTAAAAACTCTGTTAAGCCCTAAAACTTAGAGAGGCATGCGTGCCGTCCATTTGAACGGTGTAGATGTTACTACAAAGAACGATCCTTGCCGTGGATTTTTAGGGCAAGGGTTTATTTTCCGATTTAGGGTTTTTGCTCGTCGCGGCTGTGACCTAGAGGAGGAAGGAGAGGCGCAGCGCGATGAAGCTCAACATCGCCAATCCCACCACGGGATGTCAGAAGAAGGTCGACATTGACGACGATCAGAAGCTGTAAGCTTGTCGCTTGGATCTCTGGATGGAATGGTGATTTTGTTCTCTTTTCGTGCAGGAAAATCTTCTATGAGAAGCGCATCTCGCAAGAGGTGCCCGGAGATGGGCTCGGAGAGGTGAATTCGTCGGCATTTGAGCTTTGCTGTTTGTTCTAAGATTTGCAGTGCAGGAATTCAAAGGCTATGTCTTCAAGATCATGGGAGGATGTGACAAGGATGGCTTCCCTATGAAGCAGGGCGTTCTCAAGACGAAGCGTGTGCGCCTCCTGTTAAACCGAGGTAAAACGATGCTTCTTTTTTCTTTTCTCCCTCTTTCGTTCTGATTTGAGATTCGTGACCAGGCGACACTTGCTTTCGTGGGTATGGGCGACGCGATGGTGAGCGGAGGAGGAAGTCAGTTCGTGGTTGCATTGTCAGCCATGATCTGTCTGTTCTCAATCTCGTGATTGTCAAGCAAGGTACTCCCATCTTTTCTGGTCTTTTTATTTTTTCCTCTTTGTTCATTTGATTTGATTCGTGATGTATTGTTTCTTCTTTCACGTTTGCAGGTGAGAAGCACTTACCCGATCTCACTGACACCGAGAAGCCACGGATGAGGGGCCCTAAGAGAGCTAGCAAGATCCGCAAGCTCTTCAACCTCGACAAGGAGGACGATGTCCGCAAGTACGTGAACACGTACCGCCGGAATTTCACGGCCCCCTCCGGTAAGTTCCTCCTCGGACCTTAAACCGTGCATCCAAACTCACTAGTGTCGTGTCGTGTCGTGAACTCCTAAAAACCAGGCAAGAAGCGCAGCAAGGCCCCCAAGATCCAGAGGCTGGTTACTCCGCGGACGCTGCAGAGAAAGCGCGATCGCATTGCCGAGAAGAAGAGGCGCGTCCAGAAGGCCAAAACCGAGGCCGCCGAGTACCAAAAGCTGCTATCTCTTCGCCTCAAGGAGCAGCGAGAGCACAGGAGCGAGAGCTTGGCCAAGAGGCGGGCGTCTCGTCTCTCGGTCGCTTCCAAGAACTCCACCGACGTGTAAAACTCGATTGAGTTTTTTGTTCCTCTAAATTTTTGCTTAAAACGATCTTTCTCTACTTTACACTTCTTTTAGCTTAGCTAGTGATATCTATATTATAGAAGTGGCCAATCCTCTAGAGTTTTGACACCGGGGTCGAGCAAGTTGTCCAGGAACTGGTACATGTAGATTTTATCATCAAAAGTTTGTGGTGTTTTTTTCTTCCTCCAGGAGAAGGATTTGATTGAGTTGGAATGCTTTGCAGCCTCAAGTTTTTTGGAGGTGGCAAGAATAAGGATGATTTGTTAAGGGATGCTATATAATGATAAGATGGATTTTAAGCAAAAGTCCAGATTATGCTATAACACTTTTCCAAAACCTCAATTGGCAAATCCTTAAAGAAATAAAGTATTAATTTAAATTTAGCATAATGAATCACTATTGAGAATCTAGTCAAAACTATTATAATGTTATTTCTTACAAGAAAACTAAC